TGCCTGCTCCCTCCGTCACAATAATATCGCAGGCAGTATACCCCACATTGCACTACCAACGTGGCTGAGCCTCACCGCCCCCAGTATGACTGTGCTGAGAGTCACTGTGTAACATGGTTGGACATGATTTTCACTTGTAACAACGGCCGCCACCCTCCATGCAGATGGGCCTGGTACTGTCTCTATGAATAGACGCCTGAAACATTTTCCGTAGATTGAGGCTTGATGTGGTCATGGATAAATTAGTTTCTTGGTCGATCTTGTGCCTTGCCACCGTAAAGACCGAAGGTTGGCTGTCTTACAATGAATCAGGGCGACCAGGAAACAATGATAGAATAGTGATGCGACACTGAATACCAAAGACCGACTGTCAAAGCACAGTAACAGACACTACAAATGAAACGGATATCATTCCCTGTGTATGTACATCTAGCGAGCCAAATTCATCTCTATCTAGAACATGTCGGGCGCCTTCTTGACGCGGGTCTTTGGGCCTGTCACGGGCGTCTCGGACGAGATGTCGTTATTCCTCAACTTCTCCAGCTTGCGCTCATTGTCCTCGTACGCCAGCTTCTTGTACTTCTCGATAACCTTGTCCATTTGCACTTGGCTTCCAGCGGGGACGTTGTATGGCGATCCGACGTTCATGATCCTGTATTCGTTAGCCTGACACTTCCATACCAATCCCCCTCCATGTGCGCTGATTCGCCTTCATCCCAAGTCATAGTTCCTCCTCCTATAGGACTGCGTGCCTCATTCCGGGTATACGTACTCTGGGAACTTCATGTCGACGTATTCCTGGGGCCGTGTGTTCGCGAACAGCACCCTGTCCTCACCCGCCTGCTCGATCATGCGCACGTGGTGGTCGTTCTGCGAAGTCCACTTCTCGTGTAGTCCAGCCGTCGCATTGGAGATCATGCGGGTAATGTAGGGCTCGTTGTTCTCGCCGTCCGGTCGCGACAAGGCGTATACGGCGATTCCGACGGGGATGACGCCAATGGTCATGAAGAAGCCATACTACATGCCAATTGAGTCAGTATTGTCCTTTGTGTAGTAGTGCGATATCTCGGAAGAGGCCTAGGACCATCTGGGAGGGGTAAAGGGCGGTTGACATACGCCCATGGGCTCGTCGGCGGCTGGGGTCGGGTGGCCGTGAGCGTGCTCATCGTGTGCGAAACGGCGCGACTGGCGCGTGAGTGAGGTGCGGCTCGTCCGGGCAGCAGCCACTGCTGTTCTGCGTAGTGACTGCATCGTGAGGTTGCTGGCGGTCGTTGGTACCGCTGGGTTTCGCGATGATGCTGAGCTCGAGATTCGCTTAGTCAGACCCTCGTAGTGGCTTGGCATCTGTGGTCGCTTGCTCTTGAACTTAACAATCATCGCATCTGCAAGTCATATCTCCATGAAATCGTTTCACGTGTAGGGAATGGTCTATACTTCTGTTCCGCAACTTATTATTATATTGAGAAGGTGACCAGTTCATGCACGTGTTGACGTGAACATGCGCCCATAGAAGCAGGCCATCGACACTCTAGTGCAGTTCTACCCAAATTATGGAGCATCTCGAGATATACCTGGAAGTCTGAGATTGTCAGCTCTGAAAACACACGCAATCGGTAGTTGCGTACTGAAGATTAGTAACTCTTACGGCCGTTGAGATTCCTTTGTTCGGCCCTTGGATTATGTAGCGGTCCTAATCGGGAAACGACCACCCGAGCCTCGGTATCTTCTCCGCAGAACACCTGTGGAGGATCTGTGCGGACACGAACTACAAACGCGACCGAGCTGTCTTTACTTTTGACTTCCTATACCATCCATCTCCATTCAAAAGAACCTTGCTTTCTCGTCTCGTTCCCCAAATCACTACCGCGAAAGTCGGCCAAAGCATTCCGAAGCGTGCCATCAATTCATCAACTCCATCATCATGCCTTCATATACATCGATCCACCTTGCCGAACGGCCAGTGGACGCTGTTGTCGCCGGCAAAACCTTCACACCAAAGCAGCAAGAAGTTCCATCGGCATCGTCACTAAAAGATGGCGAGGTACTTTTCCAGACACTCTACCTATCACTTGACCCGGCTATGCGCGGCTGGCTGAACCCAACGCGTTCTTACATTCCTCCGGTTGAGATTGGTGCCGTCATGCGTGGTAGCGGTATTGGCCTTATCGTTGCGAGTAAGAGCAAGAAATTCCCCGTCGGTACCTACGCGACTGGTATGTGCGGATGGTCCGAGTACTCGGTGCTGAATGAGAAGCATGTTGAGTCGTTGGATCTGCCGGAGGGGGCTGTACCAACCGATGCGCTGGGCGTATTGGGAATGACCGGCCTTACCGCCTACTTTGGACTCCTAGAAATTGGCCAGATCAAAGCTGGAGACTTTGTAGTCGTCAGCGGTGCAGCTGGCGCTACTGGAAGTGTGGTCGGTCAAATCGCGAAGCTGAAGGGCGCCAAGGTTCTGGGTCTCGCTGGTGAGGACAGCAAAGTATCATGGTTGAAGGAGGAACTCGGCTTTGACGAGGCGCTGAACTACAAGGACCCAGAGTTTGCAAAGAAGTTCAGGGCTGCAACCAAGGGCCTGATCGATGTGTACTTCGACAATGTAGGCGGAGAGATCCTTGATCTTGCTCTCTCTCGAGCGAAGCCTTTCGCGCGCTTCGTCATGTGCGGGGCGATCTCGGAGTACAACAAAAAGAAGCCGCAAGGACCAAAGGTATGCTGTATTCGGTCACTGAGTCTTTGCATCAACCTACTAATCCATTCATAGAACTATATGATGATCATCTCAATGCGCATTCGCATGCAAGGTTTCGTCGTCTTTGACTTCGCGGACAAGTACGCCGAGGCCAGGAAGCAGCTCGCGCAGTGGCTCTCCGAAGGCAAGCTCAAGAGGAAAGAGACAATCATCCAAGGAGGCATCAACAAGGCCGAGGACGCGCTAGTGGGACTGTTCGAGGGAAAGAACACCGGTAAGCTCGTCCAATCAGCAATGTAGAGTCAAGTTACTAACCACTGCAGGCAAAATCATGGTACAGGTCGCAGATCCTGAGGCAGTCAAGGCGAGGTTGTAGAGGTGTAATTGATCATCAATCGACTTTCTGCTGAATGTGTAACTCTATGCGTGATCTTGGTGAGTCTGTGCGACGAGGTGCTCCTGCCACCGCGGACGCGCGCGGTCACACCTGACGTAGCCGCCTCCCTCAGGCGCGCGATCTCGACAGTTGAGCTACACTCGACACCCAGCGCACTCAATAAGCTCACCTCCCGCCCTGACAGCTACATGACCTCGCAACTGACACCAGCTTCAATGGCCGCGACGATGTCGACTCCTCGATACCCAGTGGCAACGAGCCGGCTGGAGTCACTACCAGCTGAACTCCTCGAAAGGATCCTGCACGAAGCGGTACGCGAAGTGCAACCCGCACTGACGGAAACAACGGTATCTCTCAACAGACGATGTATGCAAGAAACGCGCAGCGGGCAACCCCGCGCTTCCAAACTCGCGCTTAGATACGTGAGCCGCACCATTTACAACCACGCGTGGCGGGCTCTTGCAAAAGTAACCGACGAGACCACCTTCGACCTATGCTCGAAGCAGAGCATGGAAAACCTCGTGGCCTTAGCGAATTGCAAGGATTTGACCCCGTGGGCTCGAAAATTGACCGTCACTTCTCGCTACACCGAGCACCTCCTGCCAGAGGTTGGTAACGTGGAAACTGGTGGAGTTTATAAGCACGAAGACGTATTCGAAGCTGGTCTTTTGAATAGGACTCAGGCTATCATCAAGAGCGAGCTCGATTGGTACCCGGAGCTATGGTTGTCTTCCGATGACTATCACAGCAGTACTGCACGTACACTCCAGGATGCTGTTAGGAGCAGTCAGCTTTGGCAACTCGTTCTATCGTGTCTGGAAGCTTTACCGAATATCGTCAACATCCATTACTGCGCCAGGAGAGTCGCGGGCAGATTCACCGAAGTCTTTCGAGAAATGGCAATGATCAAGGACGTCGACATATTTTGGTACATATATGAGCACTCAGGCATTCAGATAGGTCAAGACCTCCTCCTCAGCGCCCTAGCGCAATCTATCGTTCTTCCCAAGAGACTCGAACTCGTTACGGAGATGAACGGATTACATTGCTTCACAATACAAGCTACGATACAAGTCATCAAAAAGGTCTCGAGCGAAGTCGAGGTCCTGATTCTCCGAGATGAGTTTGGCGAGGGTGGGTTTCCACAAAATCCACCCCAAGCATTGTCGACCGTGGCCATCACCAGAGACACATTTCCAGCATTACGCACGCTCGTTCTGGATGGCTCCTTTCACCAAAGTACCCTCGGCGGCAGACCGCTTCCATCAGGCATCGACGTACCCACTGTGGCGAACCTCGTATTCAGAGACACCAAAGTCGACCACCACGCGAGGCTAATCAATTTCATCGCGCTGTTTAAAGAAACACTTCGCCAAATGACGTTCGTGGACATGTACATCGACAAATACAAGTCGATATTTGAGCTTTGTCGAAATCTCAATCTCGAGCGCTTGGAGATTACTGATAGTTATGGCGACGGCCCGCACGAGGTTGTGCTCATCACAGACGTTCCGAAAGCACTGTTCTATGGCGCCGCAAAGACTGTTGTTGTCGACCCACCAGGGCATATGGATGCGCTCGCCAGACGTTGGGCAGAGGACGAACTTACCGGCAAGAAAAAAGATGAACAGGTCTAGAGCCTACATCACCGCCAGCTCACATGTTTTGTATGCTTTCATGTTGATGTAGGCTGCAGGCCTGTTCAGTTTCGTAGATACTACTGTTGAACGAATCAAATGTCAATGCAGACACTGCGCACATCTACCGCCGCCGTGAATAGCCTAATCTCGATCGAGCTTAGTAAACATGCTTTCTTGACTGCCACTCTCCCCAGGATGCGGAAGTCGCGCCCCGCACTTCAGATGCTAAGTCTTTAAAACGACGCTCCACTTTTCTCTTCGCGGATCCAGCATGACAGAACCTCCGCCTTTCGTTTACGACCCGTTGCCAGCAGGCTACATCCGTCTGCTCACTGCCGCTTCCAACAAGACCGCGGACGGCCATACCTGGAGGCTACAAACGGTTGGTCTCGACCAGTCCGACTTGGAATTCGACGCGCTATCTTATGTGTGGGGCTCTGATTCTGAACGTCTCAACATTACCCTGAATGACTGCACTGCGCAAGTGCATCGCAATTTATATACTGCACTACCGTATCTTGCGCGCCGCGGAGATACCCGGCCGGTACGGCCGATCTGGGTCGACGCTATTTGTATCAACCAGGCGGATCATGAAGAGAAGATGGTGCAGATCCGGGAAATGAATCGCGTGTACAAGCAAGCGAAGAAAGTATGGGTATGGCTTGGTACTACGAAGTATCAAGAACGCATTCCTGACGCTCTCCGCTTTCTAAAGGAGCTAGCAGAATACAAACGCAGCCGCCACTTTGAGAGTATCGACGATGAAGAGGAGAGACTCAATCTTGAAACCGTCGAAATGCCAGTGAAACTCGCTCTCCATCATATTGTTTCGAACGACTGGTTTGGAAGACTATGGGTCATACAAGAAGCGGCGTTGGCCCATGATCTGACCTTCCTTTGTGGGGATAACGAATGCAGCTGGGAAACCTTGAATGACGCGCTTAAAGATGGAACTTTGTGGACGTGCCTCAAATATGAGTTCAGACGATGCCAAGATTTTGCGGAACTTTGCGATGAGTCAGTGCAAATTGAACAGAGACAAAAGTATGGGAAAGGTACAATGTTCTCCATCCGAATCATCGTGAAGGATTGGAGGAGTGCCAAAGACGTCGAGGCGGTCAATGCACAAGCCCTGATGCTGGCAATAACGATGCTTATATCGTGTTCACATATATGCCTCAAACCGGAAGATCGTGTCCTAGGTTTGCTGGGCTTAGTGGATGCAGAGATTCTACGACGAACCTGCCTCGATCCAGAGGTAGCATACGTTTCAGTGGAAGACCTGTTCACGCGAGCAACCAGATTCGTATTTGCTTTCGCTGCGCCGCCCGACAGGGCCTATCTGTGGGAATGGTTGCGCAGCGCGTTCAGAGTGGACAAACGCACAGGTCTACCGTCCTGGGTACCGGATTTCCATAGTCCAGGGCTCCGGACGTTGGGGCCGGTTGAGTTCGAGTGCGAAAGACCGTCTCGATACGCAGCTGCTAATAAGGTCTTACGTTCGCGGGGTGGCTTGGGTTCAGACGAATTGGTACTGACAGGTACGGCAGTCGATGAGGTCATGACAGCATTCGCAATGATACCTTCCCCTAGTATAGGACAATATCTATCTCGACCTGAGGAAAGAGGGTTACTCATCGCTGTCGCAGACTGGGAAAAGATAACTGCCGACGATGCTTTGGGGCACACCTCGAGCAACTGTGAAGCGTGGCGGCAGCAGGGACTTGAAAACCATCGAAATCTACGAGGATACTGGCAGACGCTGGTCAACAACCAAAAATACTACATGGACGAGGTGATAAGTCACGATTGGTATCAAGACTTTCAAGCGATGGCCCGACAGCTGAAGGGTATCGTGGTCGATACAGCAACCCAGAAGTACGCTTCTCTTGTTGGCACTGGGCTCCTGTCACCATACTTACGGGGTGTAGATTGAATACGGGCCCGGAAGATCCACAGACATATGCCTCGGTGGCAGACTCCGAAGACGTTATTAGTGCAGAGGACCGCTATCCGAACGCGTACAAGTTCTTGGACGCCATGCAGGAGTTTCGTAGCAAGCAGCTCTTCAAGACTAAGAAAGGGCTGTTCAGTATAACGATGTCGGGTGTGCAACCGGGTGATGTTCTAGTCGCGCTTAATGGGGCGCCGATGTTACACGTGATCACAAAAGTCACTGCTGCTACGGACCATGAGCCGGAGATTTGGAAGTTCGTAGGTGATGCGTATGTGCATCCTCTGGAAAGTGAGAGCCATGAGGTGGGTACTTCCAACGAGAGCAACGTTGAAGAGGCTAATGTTGAGAAGGGAATTTTGGAAGAGAGCAACGCTGACGAAGAGCGGGAGTTCGTGTTTGTTTGAATGATAGCGATCTTGCGAAAGGACCTGAAGGTTTCGAAGTTGATAGCGGGCAGCAGGGTATCGGCTCGAGCTCCAGAAACACGAGTGGCCTCCAGAAGATTGCTTGATATTCAGTGTCTTGCCTCAGATGTCCAGCAAAGTTCGCTATGTAAAGGAGATGGTGAGGGCTGTCAGGCTGTACCTGCAGTGACGCCCCCGCGCTAACCCCACCCACGAAGGCACGTGCACCGAACTTTCAGAACGCCGCTACGATTTCATTCCCCACTCACATCCCAATCCTCCGCCCTCTTCCTGTGAAGGCATGTTATGCTTCGAACCCTATCACGATCGATAACACGAGCCATGACATCCAACGAGCCCGCCCGCGTTCCCATCCCCAAGAATGGCGTCGACTACCGTGGCAAAGTGGTGCTTGCGCCCATGGTGCGCTCTGGCGAACTGCCCTCACGCCTCCTCGCGCTGAAGTACGGCGCCGACCTGGTCTGGGGACCCGAAACCATCGATCGCGCCATGATTGGCACCACGAAGCGACTGAACCCGCACACCAATACACTAGAGTTCTCGCGCCTGCCGACTTCGAAGATCAAAAACCCCACCCTCGATCCCGAGAATCGCGAAAGCGTCCTATACCGCATACATCCGGAGCTGGAGAAGGGAAAGCTCATATATCAGATTGGTACGGCGAATCCTGAGTTGGCAGTTCAGGCAGCCAAGATGGTCGCAGCGGATGTTGCAGGCATTGATGTCAATTCTGGCTGCCCTAAGCCGTTCTCGACTTCCGGCGGCATGGGCGCAGCGTTGCTGAAGACACCAGACCTGCTTTGCAACATCCTGACGAGTCTCGTGGAAGAAGTGGGAAAGCCATTCGAGATCGGCATCAGCGTCAAGATCAGAATTTTGGACACGCCAGAAGAGACAGCGGCATTGGTGAAGAGACTGGTGCGCACCGGCATCACGGGCCTCACGGTGCACTGTAGAACCACACCCATGCGACCCAGAGAGCGCGCGATTCGAGACCAGCTCAAGATGATCGGAGAGATATGCCACGAAGCAGGCGTCGCATGCCTGATGAACGGCGACGTCACATCGCGCACCGAAGCCCTCAAGCTCGCGGAAGAGTTCAACGTCGACGGCGCAATGATCGCAACCGCAGCCGAGAAGAACCCCAGCGTGTTCCGACCCGACTCAGAAGGTGGGCCACACGAGTGGAAATCGCAGTGGAAGACCGTTGTCACCGAATACATGCGTTTCGCGCTACAAGTAGAGAACCGGTGGGGAAACACAAAGTATCTGCTCAGTCAGATGATACCCGGGAAGGAGAAAGCGTATCAGGCGATGAACAAGTCAAAGTGTTACACGGACTGCATCAAGGCGCTGGGCCTGGAGAACGTTGACGACTTGCTACAGCAGGCCAACGTTGTTGACGAGCATCTGGGCATACCGCAGAACGAATCTCGCGCCTCTAAGCGCGCTCGGGTCAAGGAAGCAGCAAATCCAGAAAGCGATGCTGTCGAGCGAAAGGAGAAGCGCAAGGAACGGGATGATGACGAACCTGAGGCCAAGCGCGTCAAGGTGCCTGAAGTGGAGCCAGAAGCAACTGTGGCCATCCCACCGCAGGAGATGGCGGCTCCTGCTGCGTTGAGCGTATGAAATATGTAGAGATTTATGGGCTGGGCGTGTATCTATTTGGGCATTGCAGGCGTACTGAGCATTTACGAAAGTGTGGGGTTCCCTCGGTAGTATGCAGCCATGATATGGGACAACGAATTGATATGAATACATACATTACTGTGACTGCGATGCACCACATGTGTTCAAACGACTAACAAAGTCCCCGAGCAGTTACGTCGCGTCGCTGATGTACTGAACGCTGGCACGCGAAGGCCTTCGAAGATTTGGTACTAGGGTCTGCTGCGTGACGGCTAGCGCCACGCTAGACGACCCCACTGCTACGGAGGTACATACTGTGCCACATACTTCGCTACCGTCTTGAATGTCAACATTCACTTTTCGTCCTCACACTTAATATCCTTAGGATACATAAAGAGCATTCCAGGGCCGACAATGACCGCCTCTACAGACGCGGTTATGGCAGATATCGGCGATGACAAAGCGCAACTCGGTAGTCTACCGAACGAGCTACTAAACCTCATTACAGACTTGGTGGTCGCTGGTGGCACGCCAATGGCGGTGATGCGACTGGTGAACAAGCGATTCAAAGCATGTGCCCAATCACACCTCGTCGAGGCTCTTCAAGCAAAGGTATGTACGCTACCAGCTTCGACGCAAGGACAAGATGCGCCGGGAGCGGAACGTCGTCTAGTACGATCGGCACAGCTGACATTGATATCTTACCATAGGCTTGGGATATTCGTAGTCCCCATGATCTTCGCTCGTTGAATGAAATCAGCAAGGTGGATGCCTTAGCCCAGGCGATCAAGTCTCTTCGCATGACTTGCTGTTATGAGGAATATCACGAAAATCCTGTCGCTCTCAGAGACGAAGCAAATCATCGACATAATAATGCAATCAAAGAAGTCACGGAACGTACGGTATCGGCTCAGGACAGATTCCGGATGCAACGCAGAACCGCCCTGTTGGAAAGGTTCGCGCACGCTTCGACGCTTTCAGAAGAGATAGAAAACGACAGGGTAGCTGGGAGTAGGAACTATGCACAAAACCTCTTTCCCGAGTCCTCTTCAGAGATGAATGTGGGTTGGTTGAGAACAATAGTTCTACCTGATCTGGAGTCGCGCTGGGAAAAGTTGAAAGAGGAAAACAAGTCCATCTTCGGCAAAGTATGGTACTCTTCCATCGTACACCCCAGATTATATGGGGCGCATTATGATGCCGTCGCCGAATACGTCTTAGCGAAAGAGGGGCTGATAACCACCATCGCGAAAAGCTTGGCTCCATTCAAGCAATTACATACTTTCGCCTTTGTCGAACCCGAGACCGATGCCTGGAGCCGTTACGAAACGCTATTCAAGGAAGTTGGTGAAGAGCACGGCCGCTTGCAGGGATGCCGGAGCCCATACACCAGGGGCTCAAAGCGAGACGCAAGCTCGGAGGCCGTCGCATACAGCGGAATGATGATCGGCCTTGACGTTGCACTTCGAGCTCTACAGCGAGCCGAAATCCACCCAACCAACTTCGCAATGCCAGTACCTTCTATTGGATTCCAATCCTTCAAGACCTCCGTTTCGAAATACGTCTTGAGCGAGGTTCTCACACAAACAAACAAGCTATGTCTCAACCACCTATCGTTGAGATTCCTTCGTGTTGGGAGTAGTAACGACGACAGACTCACCTTGACAAATGTCTATTCTCGAGAGACCCCCCCACCGGTTCACACCGAAATACTCTTAACCAATGACAGCTTCCCCAGCCTACGCGACCTGACTTTATATTTTGGCCAGGTCAGATCTGTGAACAATCCGGGTCCAGCCACCCACGGCTGGAAGGCAGCAGAACTTGAGTCCCTAACCATTCGATACGACCCACGATTTGAAGCTTCGGCAGATGTTCTTCTATGGCACCCAGACTGTTTGAACCACTTCCACCAGAGTCTCAAACACCTGACTATTGTCAACGCTTTTTGCGGCAACTGGAATAACTTCTTCCGCGACATCGCTAAGGCTCAGCTGGAGACACTGGATATTGTGATTGAGGATGATGTTCTCGGGATGGTTAGGACGAAAGTGCCGTCGTATGACGACGTGGAGAATGGGTTGGTGTGTGTTCAGGAGCGCTTTAAGAAGGCCGCCGAGAAGGTGGAGGTTAGACCGGATTGGGTTTTCGATCTTGTGAAGCGGGTGTGGAAGAATCAGGATGATATTGTTGATCGGTTGTTGGAGGATAGCGATGAGGAGGGGGCGTTTGATTGGGAAGAGGATGATGATGACGATGAGGAAGAGGAAGTTGAAGGATGAGAGCACGGCATACGTAGATGAGGTTCAAACGCTTGGGATACGGGGTAGATCCGATAGCAATTGTTGTACGCACTTGAATTGCAACAGGGCGACCAACTGGGACAGTTGGTCAACAAGTGTATTGTACAGAATCAAAAGTCCGGGTATCAACATGTACATCCTAGCATCGTATACCTCCAGGCAAGTACCACTACTACAAAGGAAAGCGCACTCCAAGATATGCCGCAAGGATATCGCCAACGTGAAAGCTATGAAATATCGAAGAAGCAAAAAGAAGAAAGATCTGGTATAAACAAAAAGAGAAGTCGTGAAATCTCAAGAAAAAGAGACGTCAACCTCTCACAACCCATCCATCAACCTCGTCAACGCCAACCAATCCGCCAACTCCCCCCCACTCTCCCTCTGAACCACCTTCGGACTACTTAGCTTCTCATTCACAATCTCCAAATCCAAAATCCCCATCACACCACTACTACTCCTACTTCCCCGCTTCTCACTCAACCCACTATCCACTCTCGCCGCCGTCGTGCGCCGCTGTATCGCCGCCGGCAGCGCGACAACAGGCCGTGTTGGGTCCATCATATTGTTGAACTCCGTGCTGAAGAAGTCGGGGCTGGCGAGGATGTGGGGGGAAGGGATGGCGCGGTTGGTGATGACGGGGGGTGGCGTGAGGTCGGAGTTTGGGTGAAGGGGTTGGGGCTTGGTGGGTGGTGTGTTGATGCGGAGACGGAGGAGGGATGCTTGTTTTGGTTTGGGGAGGGTATCTGAAGGGAGTTGTGGGGTCGCAGCTTTGGACTTGTTGAAGAAGAGGGAGGTTTTTCGGGATAGGAAGGACGGTTTGCGCGTTGTGGGTTGTGGTGGTGATGTGGGCATTGGGGCGGGGAGGGACTGTTGGTGTTGTTGCTGGGGGAGACGTTGAGCTGCGGCTTCTTCGTTGGCTTTTTGGATGCGGAGGAGCGCGTCTTGCTCTCGTTGGAATTTTGCTTTCGCTTCGTCATCCTTCAGCTGCTGGATCTTGGCTTCGTGCGCGGCTGTTGCTTCGATGAATTTCCGTTGGTCTTGTTCGTCTTTTTGCTCCTTCTCTTCGGCTTCTTTGAGCATGGCTACGATTAGGCTCCGACCTTCCTCGGAATAGTTGTCGCCTACACATGCCATGGGTGTCAGGCCTGCCACGTTCTTTACATTTGCTTTGGCGCCTTCAAGGAGGAGGGAGGAGGCAATCTTGTCATTGCCACCGACAGCTGCGGCGTGCAAGGGTGTGTTGTTCTCTACATCGAGCGTGTCCATGCTGGCGCCGCTCCGAAGCAACAAGTTCAAGATCTCCCAATCCCCACCTTCAGCGGCCATGAAGAGTGGTGTTCGTCTCTTGTTATCGAGACTGTTCACGTCCGCCCCGTGCAGCAGGAACTCTTGCACCACATCAAAGCGATGCGCCACAACCGCCGAGTGAAGTGGTAAGCGGCCGTGGGAAAACGGAGATGCGATAGTAAGCTGCGCACCCTTCACTACCAGCAGCATCAGGACATCCAATGCGACTTCCGGGCACTCTTCAAGCAAGAATGTGAGCGGATGCTGCGTCAGAACAGAGGTCTGCGTTGACTCTGGCGCAGACTGTGGCGACGACGAACGCATTGAGCTTCGAGGAATGCCCGCGTTCGGGTTCGCACCTCCATCAAGAACCACATTGAGTATGCTCAAGACGTATTCCGCGGGCATTGGCGGTTGAAGAGTAATGTGGCGAAGGACCGCGCATATCAAAGAGACGCCCAGAGCTGATCGCGGTAAAGCATTCACATCCAAACCCATCGCGACCATCTGCTCAAGGTCCTTGACAGGCAACGTCGTGGAGAAAGACGAGACTTCCGCAACAGGATTGCTAGGCCGTCTTCGCAGTAACCCTGCGCGCTTCATCCACTCGTACTGCGCAAAAAGCTTTAGAATTCGCTTATCGGCCTCCACGGAAAGCTGCAACTTGCTCTTAGCAGGCACCCAGTCTTCAAAGTCGAATGTGGCACCGTGCTTGAGTAGCGCATCCACGAAGATAGGCTTGCCTGTCGTCACCGCGTAGAACAGCGCATCTTGCTTCTTGTGATCTTCGTGGTTGACGCAGTTCCGACTCGCTTTGCGGTCCGCCTTCTGTGCTAGCAGGGCCTCGATCACGGGTAAGCCGTCCTCCGGCAGTGTCTTGATGGCAAGGATGAGCGGTGTAGCACCTGATCGCTCGCGTGTAGTCCGGCTGACGCCGCGTTCGCAGAAGGGGCCAACGATGGCGGCGATGTCGTTCCATGTCGCCGGTGCTTTGGGTACGGTGCAAGCAATGAGATGGAGAGGACTCATGCCGTCTTCATCCCAGGAGTTGATGCTCGGTGGTATCGTGAGCAGTGGTACGATGGACCATTGTTGATGCTTTACGGCAAGAAGAAGCGGCGTGTTCTTGTCCTTGTCGCCGATGGCGGTGTTTGCCCGGGCTCGTAGTAATGACTGCACAGTCGCCTCCAATCCATTGGATGCGGCAAGATGCAGTGCTGTTTGTCCGTTCATGTTGGTCTTGCGGAGGTCAGATGCCTTAATGAGCGACTCCAGATCTGGCTCCTGGTCTTTTGTACTGTTCGTTGTAGCATTGAGCAAAGGCGTAAGCTCTTCAGCATTAGTAAGATCTGCGTTTGCTTTTTGTCTTAGCAACAGCTCTGTGCAGACTCTACTGTGCGTTGCGAGATGGAGAGGCGTGTCGCCGTCTTGGTCCCTCGCATTGACCTCAGCGCCAGCGTCGATGAGCTGAAGCGCGATTTTAGGATGGCTGAAACGAGGAGATACGGCATGATGAAGCAGTGTCTTGCCGTCCGGGTATGTCACTGTTGCGTCAGCGCCCTGCTCAAGCAGAGCACCCAGAATGATAGACATGGTCTCCTTCTCTTGGGCTAGTGGGCTCTCGAAGGTGGCCTGGAGTACAGTAAGGCCCTTTCTGTCGCGGATGGTGAGATCCGGGTTGCGCTTCAGTAGTGCACTTATTACCGGCGCACCGGCACATTCCAATGCGACGAAGATGGGACGAAGGCCGTTGGCGGTCTCGCGATCCGGATCCGAGCCTTTCTCTAGAAACATCTCCACCAAGCTCGCGTCATCTCTCTTGATGGCCTCCACAAGGACGTTGGACTCTGAATCGCAAGCTGCGGCGAAGATATCCGCGATGAGGTCATTGCCTACGGAGAAACGGCCCTGTGTCTTCTTCACGTGCTTCAGCAACATCTCCCTCTCTTTCTCGAGCTTGTTGCGCTTGCCATGTGCGGCGTTGATGATCGCTACTGCGCCCTGGATGTTGTTGGCGTGTAGAGCAGCTTCAGCTGGTGTCTGACCGAGACCGTTGAGCGCTTCGTAGCTAGCGCCATGCTTGAGCAAAGTCATGACTGTGGCCAATGATCCGGACTTTGACGCTGCGTAGTGGAGGGATGTCTCGCCGGTGTCGTTCGTCTTCGTCTCGAGGTTGGGTCCGTATGGGATCAAAAGTTCGATGAGATCGCTGCGGCCATTCTTGACGGCTATGTGAAGGGCTGTTTCGCCGCTGGTCTTGATCACAGCATCGGCATCGGCACCAGCATCTAACAGTATTCTCGCCAGACTCGCGTAGCCGTTGGCGATGGCGATGCATAACGGTGGGAGTCCCAAGCCAGCGACATCATTCGGTGTTGCGCCAGCGCGTAGGAAGTGTGAAAGCGCTGCCTCGCGTTGGTGGTAGACAGCATAGTATATCGGTGTCCAATCTTTCGATGGCTTGAACTCGCCAGTGCCCTCCGGTGATCCCGCTGGCTTCCCGAACTTGCATCTCATAACCTCCACCGAAGTTTGCAGTGTTGAACCCTTTCGTTTCAACGCAGTCGGCCTCGTCGTATCCCGATCCAGATCAAGGTCGATATTGCGGGGAATTGGGGGCTCCATGTCGCTTGAGTATCTGCTAGTAAGGCAACCGCAAGACTTAGATTTCATGCTCGCGAACCTTACATCAAGGCCTGATAAAGCAGACAATCAAGGGTTCAGGATTGCGACAAAAGAAAATATGCAGGGTAAGGAAAAGCATCCGGGTACCCACCACAGAAGAAAGCTACAAGAGCGACAGGAGCTTGACAAGTACGCTCCCCACCTCTCCCCTTCTTTTTGCCAAATTGGAGGAGCTGAAATCGTGGCGCGCCCACGAATCAAGTCATTCTCGTCGCGGTTGTCGTGCCATTTCGCCTTGCTTACCGCTAGGAGCCATGGTTCAATTACCAATAACGGGTGCCTTGTCGTGCTACAAACCTAATCGCGCCTCTATGTAGTCCCGAAACGGGTAGCTAGGTGCCTGGATTCAGTCGACGGCAGATGTACGACTCGCATTCTCGCGGAACGGTGCGCCTGGGGCGATCGCCGCAGCGCTTCCCTGCAGGCTACAGCGCTTGCGGGCAATCATCTCAGAAGGAATCCCAGAGGCGTTGTACAGTTGTCTTTTCGCTTGGCTTGCTCGCGACGGTCCGCGAATGACGGAGACGCTACTAACTATAGAGGGGCAATGGCGCGGTGCAGATCTTGCTGTTGGAGGCTGCAAGCCAATGCGTCGTGATGGCGATGGACGCGAGGCGGAACAACAAGCAAAGTCAATGGCGACGGAGGACGCGATACTTTCGCGCTCGATGTTCGGAGGGAGGTGCGCTCGGTGCTGCTTGCGGCGTTTCGCTAGCCGACCCACGTGTTTGTAGCTGGATTGGCTCAGGGGTAAAGTGGCCTCCATCGCCTCGCTATTGCGCGCCGTCGTCCTTGGCCAAGCAGACGGCGCCAATGCTACGGGTACAATGTTTCCGCAACAATGTTGTCGAGTGTGCAGGCGTTTATTGAGTGGAGATTAGACGAAAAGTCGAATTCTAGCCGCGGTAATGCATGGGAATGTCCAGGTAAGGGAATTGCAGCTGCAGTGGCTGCTCCGAGGAACGGGAGATCATCCGCCAGCTCGGTATCACGTTGAAACTCAAAATGGGAGCTGGTTTGCTAAGATCATGCGCAAGAAAGAGTGTTTATTCTTCGTGTACTATGCCCGCGAAGATCGTCCTAAAATCAAGTAAAGAGTGTAAGAGGACGCGAAACCGCCGTCCACAGTCAAGTACGCAAGTGCGCAAAAGCAATCCCCGTCTTCTTTTTCCAATTTGTGTCCCCGTATTGCATCATCCTCCTGTTACAGCGATCGAATCGCTGTCCAACGGCAACGACGAGTACGCTGGCAAGTCGTTGCACGTTCATCCTCTCCGCAACCCCACGTGGCCGCCAACACCATCTCTCAGAACTTCACACCCAACTTCCAGCCAACTTGGAGTGCGCGACTCCACACAAAGCAGAGTGACGCCACGATGTAGCAAGCTGCGGTCCAGATGACCACTCCCCAGTAGTGTCCACCAGTGGCCTGGATGATAGCACCCGCGATAGGAATTCCCGTAAGCGTGCTGAAGCTGACCACGGTGTAACAGGTAGCGTAGTACCTGCCGTAGACATTCGTATCGCAAAGCTGGCCCACGCAGACTGGTGTCAACGAGATATTGGAGCCAGATGCGAAACCAAACAAGACCGCGTAGACAATGGAGAGTGCTTTGATAGCCGTAGCTTCGGCCGCGGAGGTGGGGGTGAGTAGCGATGCGGGCAGCCAGAAGACTAGCGATGTAGCTGAGCAAATGGCGAGTGCAGCAATCATGCTGTTGAAGCGCCCGAGCTTATCGGCTAGGAAGCCTGGGACCCAGCGACCGAGACAACTTCCCGCGTTGAAGATTGCGATGAGTTGGTACGAGAACGACGGGCTGAATGCGCCGGTACTGACCGCAAAGGTGGTGAGGTACGTGATCGGGATGAAGAGTGCCCACTCCATCATGAAGATGCCGACCGTGAGCAGGAAGTAGCTCTTGTGCCGGAAGATCCGGAAATCAGGCCATACTGATTGTCCAGCTTTAGGTGGTAGGCGGGAGCGGATGAGGAAGCAGGCACCAATACAGCAGAAGAGCGTGATGAAGCCGATGATGCGAGTCGCCCATGGGAATCCAACCCTGGGTAGCAGCTTCTCCAACGCCAACGGGAATATGACACCACCCAGCGATCCTCCAGCTGCGGCGATACCCGTTGCGTTGCCTCGCTTTTGCAGGAAGAAGTGGCTGACTGCGGCGAACGCAGGCGTGAAGATCAACGATGTACCGAGACCCCCAAGCACGCCGAAGACGAGGAAGAAGTGCCAGTACAGTGTGCAAATCCCGAGCAGGAAGTTTGACAAGCACAGCAGGATGCTACCTGCCAGCACCAATAGCTTCGGGCCGTGCGCATCGAATATGGGTCCAATCTGGAGTCCGCAGAAGAACGACAGGAAGACGTACATGCTGAAGATCCATGAGATGGTCGACTCGGTGTAGTCTGCAAGGTAGTGCTCGGCAATGTAGGCATGGTAGATACCGACCGTGTTCATCATACCCAAGGATGCGATGAGTCCAAGGAAGGACCCTAGAACGACAGACCAAGCACCTAGGCCACCTTCCGGATAGGTTACTTCGTCATTGGCAATAGACGTTGATCGAGATTCCTCATCAAGAGGTCGGTGAGCTTTTTCATCTCCAGTTGCAGTGTTGCTTGGGCGATTCTCCTTGGAGTTGGCCGATGCCGGGGCATCGGCGTTGTGAGTTTGGGCACTTGGGCATGGTGACAGTGTGTCCGATGGCGGGATCGTAAATTCGGCGTGAGGATAAGTGTTGACTCTGGTCAAGTTGTTATGTGGGCTAAGTGATCCTGGCGTGCTGCCTTTTGGTTCGCTGCTCATACGAAGGGTCGAGTTGGTTTGGGGGGAGGTTTCGTCTAATATGTATGACGAAGCGCGTTGTTGCGCTGGCAAGTTGATCTCAAATTCGTGAAAGATGTCGCAAGCTCCTGCACAGTCCCCGAAAAGCGTCCTCGCAGCCCTGAAGTACCTCCCAATCGATGATGCGCGCCGAATTTGAATCGCAGATTGTGGTTCCCCGAGCGGTTTGGTGTTGCATAGTCGAGCTCCCCGAGCGGTATAAGTACGTTGGATGCCACAGGAGGGGTAAAGAGCCATGACCAATAGACCCACTCTGCCGCTTCGGCAACCACTCGCAATGCGGTATCGCCCGCTGCCGACGAAGGGTTTTCAGCACACCTCTATTCCGACCCGGTGCATGATTCGCCCTAGACGCCGAGAACCAAGACTCTGCTGGACATTGGCGGTGAAGTCAGCATGATGGTCTGGACGACGTTGTCTCCGGACATAGTAATTCTCGGAATTGAAGTCGGAGTTGAGCGTCATCGATATCGGAAAACTTCTTGTGGGGGTTTCCGACCTGCTCGATGATGTCGAAAGCTTTCTTCTCTTGCGAAATGTAAACCAGGAGCCGTTCAGCCATTGGTGCGATCTTCTGGGTGTCGTCGGTGGCTTCAAGGATGGACAGCCACAGCTGCGTGGGAGACGGTGTGACTGTGGGTGTAGGAACATCGCCGAACATGGAATCATAGCGGTCATCTTCGCTGCCATGTCGGGTATATGGTGCAGCTGGCATCTTGCTGACCTTGGGTGTAGGTAATCGAGTGCTTTGGTTCAGCATATCCAGAAGCATTGTACTCTCACTGGATCCATTCGTGCCGATGCTGGAAGCATCGTCGCTCTTGTCCGAACGACATTCTTGGATAGCTCTGTGGAGCACTAGCCAACTACCGCGGAATCTCCAACGGTCTTCGTGCGACATGTCGCGGTCGCGAGAAGCATACGTAGCCCTAAGTCTGCTTTCTAAGAGGTCGTAGAGTGTACTGGGACAGTTCTCTCTGCTGATTTGGAGAGTTCTGGGACTATCTTGGGGTGGTTTGGAGTATACGCTGTCTTGGCCGGCATGCTGTGACGACGGTTCGCTGCACTGAACACTTTGCGGCAGTTGCGATACGTTCTTGATACAGGCCTGTTGATGCGCTGAGCTACCTGTCGCATGGTCCACGGGCCTTCCTTGTTGCTTCGATCTTGTAGTGTACTTCGCCCGGAAGTTGCGTACATCGCGGCGGAGTAGCTTGGCTGTCCAGCGGACGTCATACGGCAAGAAAGAGCGCATCATGATGAAGAGTATAGCTATCAATATGACTGACTGTATCCATATTAGTTGAGATTGCAGATTGAGGGTTCACTTGGCGCACACTCACCAATATCAACATGCGTTTGAGTGGCATGCGCTTGGTGTTGTGTACGGAGGTAGAGGCTAACTGAATGTGAAAAGAGCAATACACGCGAGTGAAGATAGTGTCATTGAAGTTGAGTATGCGCGCGGTTCCTGTACCTGATATTGCTAGACTGAGAGCAAAGTGACAGTAAAGTGACAATGAAGGGTCCAATCTAATCCCACGTGGTTTGCGCTCGTGCGCGCTTTCAAGGCAGCTGCACTTAGGCAGTGTAAACAAGCGCACAGCAGGCGCGCCTTTCATTTCCACACGCTTCGATGGGAAACCATCAGCGCGCGCTCTACAACTCCAGTACCCGAGATGAGAAGACAGACTACGTAGCCAAGGGCGTTGCAGTTCCTCAACCCTCACTATACGAGATGAGAAGACATAGTAAAACGCACCGCATTCCAGCGCCTACCTGGATAGACAGAAGAAAGTCGGTCGGCAGAGGTGACATCGCTCTTTCCGCATGCGTCATCGTATACCTACACCGTCCACTCCACCACCTCCCCCAACTTCCAATCCACATCCTCCATCCAAGCCCCCACACTCCACGCCCCCAGTCCCCTCGGCCACCAATTCTCCTCACCTTGTTCCAAAACCTCACTCTCCTTCTTCTCATGCACCTCAACCCAGCATCCCCTTGCCCTCGGCGTGACCGCCGCAATATCAAACGCCCGCCACTTCTGCGTCCCTACTAACACCGCGTCCATCTTCTTAATGTCTGTGTCGTAGTCGTCTACCTGTAGTTCTTCTTGCACTTCTTTGACCGCTTTCTCGTGACCCGGCGCAGATGGCAGGGGAGGTTGCGCGGCGGCCATGCTGAGAGGGAGGTATTTCGTGTTCAACGGCATTGGCGGAATCCATTGCCAGGGTTTGAGAGTACAGGCAAAGAACGGTGCGCCGCCATCGCCTTCTTTGGTGCCAGGCGGAAAGACTTGCACTGTTAGGGTGGATGGAGGTGAGGCGCCGGGGGCAGTAGGCGGTGCGGAGAAAGAGAAGCGGGCGAGCTGTTTGGGAATGTTCCAATTTAGGCGCCCGTTGTAGGTTGTTGTGCGTTGGGAGACGTAGATGCGGGATATGCGTTGGGCTTTCTTTGGGATATTGATGTGTGGCTGGCCGGATGGGGTGGTTGTTGGTTGTGGGACGGTGAAGTTTCCGGGGACGAGGAGGAGTTCGTCGTAGGGGCCTGTGATGAGGTCAGAGGAAGTGCTAGAATCAATTTGATCCCATGCTGTCTTTTAGTGTATTCTTCCTGCTCATTCCCATCCCTCAAAAAGACGTCGAGTTTGACATCCACAATACCCACCGACTCTTCCATCCACAACCTTGCCTCTTCTCACCCTTTCCCATCCCTGCTCATCCCACAAAAGGAACATCCCACATACCAACAGGCGTATCCCTATACCTAACAATACACACGGTCCCCAACCCTCCCTCAAACTTCCCCATCCCCTCATCATCCCACCCACCCTCCTTCCCCTCAAGCTCACCATGCACACCCCCAGGCAACCCCTTCAACACATGAAACAGCATATACACCTCCGCCGTGAGTTTCCATGGCGCCGGCGCACGCGCAACAGGATGAAACGACGGTTCTTCAGGGCCGGGTGCAGACATTGCGCGGTATCACGATCGAGAAGATGGATCAAGCGGGATGACAATGGTGTGAGAAAGACAACACTTATTAGGTGGGAGATGGTGATACCCGTTTGTTGTAATAACCCCAGCTACCGGGTAACGTTGTTGCGATCTGGCATGTGATGGGCAAGGTATCCGGTTCAGCCGCGGCTGCGGTGTGTGTCTCGAGACATCCCTTGCAATATTCTCTCGGTAAAGTACCAAGGAGACTGTGTGGCACAGCAGAGCAGCTTACATCGCATCGTGTAAGCGCGCCAAGGTGCTTTGTTTCCATCACTAAGCACTTGATGGAATCAATCAACTGGTTTTGAATGTACACGGGAGTAATGCGAAGAATGCGCGAGAAGAGTGAGAAGTTGATGAGGGAAGCGCGATGGTCTGAGCGCTGCGTGCTTGAACCCATCCATGCCGCGTTCTTAAGTGCCCCCAGACGCATCACCAAGATCTGGTACGATATACGATGACAGTCACACAACGATGAGATGGTACTTCTCTCAACTTACCTCGTCCATTCTCAACCTTGGAAAGCACACAGTCACCACCAAACCACCAAACTGCCGTCGTCGCAACTATACCCACCAAGTCCCGCCTACACTACAGTACCTAGCCCCGCCTCGCCAAAATTCTGACAACCACCACACCAACACGCACGCACGCACATGCAGATGCAGATGCACTCATGCCCATCGCGCCCACCTCCCTGCGAACCAAAGAATGTCTTGCATACCAACCGCGTCACAAGTCATCCTAAATATTCTCCACATCCTTCCATCCGTCCACACATCCACCCATCTACATCTGCATCTGCACCCTTCCTTGCACACCGCTACTGATGTGCCGTCCTAAACATCCCTTAACTTTAGTTCCCTTAGTCCTGTCAATACATATGCAGCTCCAAATCCTTCTCGGCGCGTAGAAGAACCTAAGAACACCTTTCAATATTTTAGAATATTTTAGCAGGGTGGTTCTATCCGTCTAGTCACCGTGCTTTCATGCCCACTTCTTCTACTTAACTAGAAGTAGAATTATCTGGGGGTAATAGAAACTCACCCTGCCCCGCTTTAATCTTGATAGCCCCAGTAACACCCGCGTCTATACATGAGCATGTTTTTGTTAGCCAACGTAGCCATGTACACCTAGCAACGAGCCGCATAGCTCAATGTACTCGCGGAGATTAAACACGGAATCCCTCCTACTCATGCACATGTCTCTGCATCGGGCAAAGACTCGTGTGCGTCCGTCATTATACTCCGGAAGAACTTTTGTAGGATCTGATCGCTGGAGGAAGAAAAGGGTTCGTGGGCACCCCACAGCACGAGATCAACGATTCGCTGCTCTGTCGATTACTACCAAATCGCCGGTAACGCAAACGCGGCTCTGCGTCGATCATCATACGTACATATGTCAGCTCAATGTCCAGACCCTTTCTTCCTCCCGAGATGTTTCCCAACGATTTCCAGCAATACTACATCGTTCGTTCTCGTTCTTTCTCCCCATCCACATCAATAGTCAATATTTCCCCAGTCGTTGGAGCACCGTCTCGTGGCAACGCGTCTATTGGCTGAGAGTCGGGCTATCCAATAATACAACCCGGCTAACTACGGCGTGCGCGTCCACACACACAACAAAGCCGGGGCGGGAGTGTGTCGAGGCCAAAACCAATAGACCCTACGAAGCTAGGTCATGCGGCTCTGCACCTACCCTTTCGACCTAAACTAGGGGCTGGCGGCGGACTGACAGCCCTGGAGTTGTCAATGCTCACGTACCAGCCTTGTCCCCAAACAGCAGTCCGCTTGCATGACGCGCAGCAGAACGACGATGGAGCGGCGGCCTGTGGCGGGACAAAGCGTTTTCTTGGCGGCTGAGGCGCGCGGACGAGTCAGAACACCAGCACTACTACCATGGCACGTGGCATGGTAAGCTGTGACCCTGAAGGACCGGGCGAGTGGCAATACATCGGCATGTGATGGCTGGTACGTAGCGGGATGTTGCAACCTTGGCATGAGGGTACCTCGTGGTTGTTCGTGTGCAAGGGAACCCATTGTACGAATGCGGTGGCGTATCCCTCGGTACGTTGGTAGCGCAAAGTTGGTGGTAAGAACCAAACGGCGCGCTACACCGAACAGGCGACGGGCCCGGTCGGTAGTCATGTGTAGCCAGATTAGCGATGTTTGGACGCGGCTTGGAAGGGCGCATGTCCGATGGATGAGCGTCATCACGAAATTGTCTGGAGATGAACGATGAGGTTGAGGGGGGAACCAAGTGGTGAATTGTGTAGGTTTGAACTCCGACACGCATGTCCGTTGGATGAGCGTGATCACGAAATTGTCCGGAGACGAACGATGAGGTTGCAGGAGGAACCAGATAGTAGTGTGTGAAGTATGTAGAGTGTGGTATTACGGGACCCTCCAAGATGTACTTGTCAGGATAGCCGTCATGTCTATCAACTATCTCCGAAAATGAAGAAACGCCTGTGGAACTCGAGGTCCTATTTTGGATAACTTTTTGTTTACTCTGCGATAGAGGAGAACGCCGTTTCGAAGGAAAAAAGAGAGAAAAGAGACCCAAGTCTATGAAGCTCAGGGGGATATTCCGCGTAGAAAAAAACAGGACGATTTGAAAGCAAAGATAGCCAACTCATAACACCTCTGTAATGCACATCGAATTCGTCGTTACCAAGCGCTGCTGTGTATACCGCCGCCGCCGGTTCAAAAGGAAGATGTACAATCTCGAGAGGATGTACAAGAAAGCGGGAATACGTGGGCGGAGCCAAAAGTAGTCTCTTTATCCAAGGTTATCAGGCCTGACTGGTTGGTTTGGTAGACAAATCCTCCAATCCAAATGTAACGCCAGGTAGATGCAAGAACAAGGGACGGGACGAGTCATGACTTTTCGTGTTGTTGCTGAACAACATCAGCCGATAAAGAAACAAAATGTCTATGGCGAAGCTGCAAGCGTCGTCGCGGGATATCGAAGATCGGGGTATTGGGAGAAGAGTAGAAGGTTGGGAGACGCGTTGAGAGCGATCCGAAGAAGTAGAGTTCTAGAACATGGAGGGGTCGATGCCCATTCCAGCACCAGCGACATTCGCGTTCTGAAGATTTTGCAGATTTGAGGTCAGGCCAAGCTTCTGCATCGCCAACTCGGGGTTGCAGTGGGGAGCGTGGGAGCGGTGGTACTTGAGACCGTTGAGGTTCTTGTATCGCTTGCCGCAGACTTCGCAGCGGTATGGCTTCTCCTTCTCCATGCCGACAGTTCCCGGGTAGGGAATGGATGTGAGAGGGTCGACAATCGAAAAGGTACCGTCGTCGTTCTCCTTGAGTTGCTGGTTCTGGTGACCGTGCTGCTTGTGGTACTTGAGACCGTTCTGGTTCTTGTATGCCTTCTCGCAGCCGATGACTGGGCATCGGAATGGCTTGACTTCCTCGGGGAAGGGGAATTGGGGTATGCTCGCGCCGTTGATGAGCTGCTGCTCCCGTAATCTCCTGGCCATCTCGCTCTGGTCGTTTCCGCTGAGCTGGTAGTTCTTGAGCGCAGCTTGCAGCTGAGCCTGGTTCAGACCGCCGCCCTGCTTGCTGAAGAGACGCTTGCCGGGCTGGTCGATTGTGCCGTTGTTGTCGAATGCGCCCATGCCAAAGTTGCCGTTGCCGTTGGCGAAGTTCATGCCCATGTTCATGTTCATGTCCATGCCCATCATCGGGTTAAAACCGCCAAAGTCCATGTCGAGCTCAGCCGGAGTGCCCGGGTGTGAGGATTCAGGCGATGTCAGGTTGTGGTTTTGCATTGGCATGGTGCCCATGGTGGGGGTGTTGACCGACGAGACGGTGGGGTTGTTCTGGAGGTTAAACTGCTGCGAGGCAGACGGAGTGGTGGGTGTCGATGTGCGCATGCCCTGGTGATTTTGCATGTTGTTGGCGAGGTTGACGTTGACGTTGAGCTGGGGCTGCTGGTTCTGGTTCTGGTTGAACTGGTTCTGGACGGGGAATTGCTGCATGTTCTGCTGCTCCTCGATGGGGCCGAGGTTGTCAAAGTTGATGTCGTCCATGTCCATGTCGTCCAGCGTGTCCATGTCCTGCACAGTCGACAAGTTGGAGCGGCTGACGGAGCCGATGCGCTGGCGGGGTGCGCCTATTGAGCCGGAGCGCGACTGGAAGCCGTTCTGTGTGTTGAAGGCCGGGTCGCCCTGTGTCTGGCTCGGTGCAATGGAGCTGGTCGGGGCACCGGATGTGGCAGTGAAGCCGTTCTGTGGCTGCTGCTGCTGCTGTGGGCGGGCGGCCGGTGCGTTGGCGTGCGTCTCCTCGAAGTGCTGCAGGAGGTCATGCAGGGAGGCGAGGGTGAGGCCGCAGCATGTGAAGTCCTTCATAAAGGCGGCTTCCATCTTGGGCAGGTAGGACGACGAGTGGAAGGAGGGCGAGTTCTGCACAAAGGGCGCGGGTGAGGTACCCATCATGATGCTGGTGCCAATGTTAATTTGGGCTGTTACAACTGGGGATAAGTGGATACTTACTCGTCGCGGATCCAGGACCCGACCGAGTGGCCGCCCCAGCTCATGCCACCTGCGAAGCTACCCATGTTGGTGCTTTCGCGGCGGCCACGGTCCTTCATGGTGATGGGGCGGGCGCCGCTGTTGCCGTAGAAAGAAGAGCCGAGCATGCTGATGGAGGGGTGGCGCTCGCCTATGCTCGGGCGGCCATTGTTGAACTCGAAGTTGTTCGGGTTGAGCAGACCGGGCGTCGTGGCCATGTCGGGCTGAGCCTCGGCCTGGCGTAGAGCCGACGTCAGGTTGGACGTCTGGTTCTGGGGTGAGTTGGAGCCATAGCGCGGGGGCGTCTGGATGTCGATGGGCGAGGCGGTGGCCATGTCTGCGAAGCCGCTGTGGACTTGCGGCTCCTCAGGGAAGAGGGGGAAGCTGCAGTCGCCCGCGTCTTCGAATAGCACGTCCTCGTCGGGCTGGCGGCGGGCCACAAGCTCCGTGGGCTTGCGGTGCCAGAGGTGGTGGAGGCCGGCGCTCGGGTCCTTGTTCCCACGCCCAAACTGCGGCGATGCGGGCTGCTCGACAGGCGTGGAGATGGGCGTGCTCGCTGCGGTGGATTCGCGCGGCGAGTGGGAGAGGGGTGGCGGGTGCTCGTAGGAATCCAGCTTCACGGTGGGCGAGGTGAAGGGTAGAGAGGCAGTGGGGACGAATGCTAGTGGAACGGCGACTCGTTAGGCGCAGTTTCAGATGACTGTGCGGGTGTGTGGCGTCGTCGGCAGTGGTCGTGAATGTGGGAACACCGAATAATAATGGTGTTCAAGTGTGTCTGAGGGTAACTGAAATAGTCGATATGCTCAGTATTATGCCAGTGAATTTACGTGGAATAGCCGTGCCGGGGCGCGGTAGATTATATGCGCAAGTGGGAGCGGTGACGACGAGGGTTAGTATGGGCAGAGCGGCCGACCTCGAGGATCCCTGCACGGTGGGTGGATACGGCCAATTGCGGGCTGGCGCTACTGTGCTCTGTATGCGTCGCTCCTGCCAAAAATGCAACTCTGACGAAGGGCGATCTCGGATTATGCGATGCGAGTGACGGGGCGATGGGCGGAATGCAGATGCAGATGCAGCGATGCAACGGCCACCCGTCTTCTTAATATTTGGTTTGTCTCTCGGCCTGGCCAGCGCCGGCTTCGTGATTGAAATACGGCACTGCCGGCCGAGGCAACTTTGGGAGAGAGGCGCGCACGGCCACATGGTTTCTGGTACGCGCCCCTACTAGAGCCGGAGCATGGAGACGACTCCAAGCGTCTGCGTCTGCGAGTGAGCACTCACGCCGCCGTTCAACGCAGGCTTCCCTGGCCCAGCGCAGTAGCATCGCCAACAACTTCTTCTAGAAGCCATCGTGCGTGGCGCCCTGGCCAGCTGGAAAGTACCGTCGGTCGCTCCTGCCCGTGGCGCAGGCAACACCACCGTAAGCCTTCGCCGCGAACCATCCTATACCCGAGTCTGCTCCGGGCCAGCTCTTGGCTCTTCACTCCCACTACCCTACCTAGCAGCTCGTGAATGATCTCTTCGTGCGAACCGCCGCTGACGCCCATGCACTCACCATCACTTGCAGTCTGCCCTGCAATTCCACCTGCTCCGCACACTAATATGACTAACATGGCTCTGCTCCGCTCGCTGCTCGCTGCGACTCAAAGGGTCCTGGTCTGCATCGCGCCCAACATGCTTCATCCCTACCCACCTGCCTAGCCACACCAGCCCGCTCACGAGCATCCCCAGCGATGGACATCGTCGTTTCGAACCGTCACTATGTTGCTCGGCCAGGTCGGCAGAATGCATCGTCTTGGCCGGACTGCTCTCGGCTGTTTGACTCTCTTGGGCTCTCTTACACACGCACTCAACTAACCGCCGCCGCTGCCCTTAGCCTGCGCTACATGCGGTACGTACTCTGCTGTTGGGACGACTACATGCCTTTGCCTATTGATGCTCTACATGTAGTATCGTCTGCTCTCAAACTCAAAGTTACTGCACCTCTAGCACCTAGCGCTGTGATCACTAACCACCGCGACAATACTCGGCAGGTCTTGCGTTGCTTTTTACCCCATGGTCTTCCTGTCTGGGGTAACGAGTCTGTCGCTTACCCGCCTGCATCACGGCCTGCTTGACTGCCTGACTGCTATAGCTGAAGCTACCGACGACCCGAAATGTCGTGCTCGTCCACCAACCACGACACGATAGCACACACCAAACCCCCACGGCCGCCTCACAAGCCTCATTTCCAACTCCTAACTTCCGTCAGTTGCATATTCGAAACATGCAGCCTGTCCCGTGACGGGCACCGAGCACCGGAGTCTTCTCATACCGCAACTATGTCTGCCCTACCCAAGGCCAGCCATCCTTGCAAACGTCACGCCCGGCTCGCTTCACGTCGTGAGCGCTCGTTTCATTGGACCCTGCAGCAGCTCATTCTCCCACGTCGTGCTCAATGAGGGATCCCGCCCTACACCAGTCCCAATTTCATCCCACTTGCTGTGTCACTCCAGACACCTCATCACCGCCCCAGCGAAACACGTACCAAAGACGTCGTCCCGCGGATTACGACGTCTTCGAAATATCACCGACGGTACGCGCCTGCACTCGTCATGCTTATGCTGACTGGCCTCCTCGGCGAGGGCGGAATCCGTTGGGGCGCGGCTCTCCCGCTGTCGCTTGTATACAGCACCACCGCCAAGCGCTATTGGCGGAAGGCACAACCGGTGCAACTTCCGACTTGCGAGCCAGACACACGGCTGGGTGGCGACGTCACTCACTCTGCCCATCCATCGCCATACGGCCCCAGCCCTGAGATGCACCTCGTCTCAGCTCTCGTTGCCAGCCACCAATCCAGCGTTCTTCCGCCACGCACGGTACCGTCAGCTGAATCGTCGCTCCCGACCCGAGACGAGCGCATCTTGGTACAACTCTTGCAGTAAGTGTGGCGAGCGACGCATCGTCAGATTCACGATGCCCCAAGATCGCATCAGGACTCCAGCCCCAATCCTGGCTAGCAGCCTTCACCGCCAACTGCCGCCGTGACGTACCCGGTATAACAACGTCTGCTATCCGGTAGCGCACGACTGTGCATCATCTCCTAGGCTGCTTCCAGATGTATTGCATCTTCCGATCTTATCAATGTTCAAACTGCACCATGGCTCTTTTCCGCCGGTTCACAGTACCATGGGAAGACACTCTGGGGTAACGGCTACAACGGCTACAACTCCAGACAAGATCACTGTCATGCCAATTGCGGGGTAAAAAGTAACTCTGGTATCCAAGTACGTCGACGTAGACTGACCCGAACATCAAGCGAACGTTCTGTACCAACATCTGTGACGACTCCAGCACGCAGGCATGAAGCCAGCGCATGGCACACGCAAACGCCCCAAACGCTCCCGGAATCGGATCCATCAGTGTCCAACGTTGCGACACTACGTGGTTAGAAACGGCCCTTCATCATGTTCACAATATGCGCGTCATTGCTTTTGGCGTCAGGCACGCCTACCCCAGGGGACGAATCGCAGACCATAGCAACCCGTGCTACTATCGTCTAACGTCAGTAGTCTAATTCACCTCGCTTAAAGGCTCAGCTCTCGCTGTCACGTTGTCGACAATGCAACACCAAGCAACACGGATAATGACTTATCCCACTCGGTAGTCGCAATTTTCATGAAATTGTCCGAAACATGATCGCTTGTGGCGCCTCACACGATGTCTCGAACCCACACTGCACTGTCTAATACGTTGTATCCGCCATCTCCACACCTCCACCTGCAGCGCCATGCATGATTTCAAGCTTCAACGCTAGAACCTCTAGCGCGGGCTCGGTCCTTTCTTGGGTCACGTTATCGGGCCGCTACCATACACGCAGAGCACATTCGGCAACAGCCAGAGATCAAATGTTGACGTGAACAGATGTGCAGCATGGATTGACATCGGAATACCGATTCTAGATTCTCCGACTATGCAATCGAAGGATTCCGGCCCTAGACAGCTGAGACGTTGTGATGTTGTGTTCGGTCAAATACATCATCTTCGGCCCTACATCCATGGGCAACACGAGCGCACGATCAGCCTTGTGACGTCAACCTCGACAGGATGAATCGTTCCTCTAGGCAGCTGAACCTAACGCTGGCGAACTGCTCCGCGAACGATGTTGTTAGAGGCGATGGGATCGAGCATGGCCGACCTTATCTACCTGATCGGCAATATGCTAGTAATAGCTTCCTCCCGCACTTCGGGATAACTACATCCAGTGTGTTGATATGCGAGCCCGCGCGTCACTGTCGCGCATGTGTGCGGCGTGGCATATGTCATCCCGCCAAACCCTGGCTTTTGTGACGAAAGATGCAGCACTCATCAGTCGATGCTCCTCGGAACCGCAATCACATTCCAGAGGGACTGACCTTCCGAAAAGGTATACTATGGGAATTTGTACTCGACGATCGTTCAGGCGTAATGTGGCAGGTCCGGCTTGCTTTACCCGGTGGGATGCACGTTGGAAGTGAATCATTTGTATTGGATGATCGTCGATATCGTCAGGCTTCGTGAGTAATGCCGTGTACATGACTTCTTTCGCTCACCCTGATGGTCACGGACTTCTCTTGACATCAGAAGACACGTGTGCTCATTACAACACCCGATTACCTCTTGCCCTTCGATCCGTCAACAACGAGAAATGGAGATGCTTATCTGTGGAACAACCATACACGCAAGAGACCCATCACGACCGAAGTACTGCCTGGCAGCGATGCACAATAGCGATGAGAGTGTGTCATATGGACATGTCTTCGTTTCAATATAGGGGTATCTTCTCAGTATTCATGGACGACATGCCGCCCATCGGAGCTTCGGAATGCGGCCGACAACTTTCACCCTCATTCTCTTTCATGGACATCTCTCGAAACCACTGCGGCAACTCGTCTCTCCAGCATATCATCACCGCATAGTCTCGTTGACTACTCGTTGTGTATACCTTAAATGTGCAACACTGGATAGGACACTTTAGGGCGAACGCAGTCGACCACAAACACACATGTGGATGGGAATCATATCTCCGCAAAGGAGTTAGACACGAAATACTGCGATAACTTGACTTTAGATATCATGTCGCATTCTTCAACGCATGGCTCTACGGTAGTAATGGAGTGAGTATCAGAACAACGCTTTTCAAAATCTATCAACCGATGCAACACTACCTCATTTCAACGATCCAGATCGGAGCCCTCAATCTCCGTACGCGGCTTCCTCCTCCCTTTCCCTTTCTTCTTGGCTCCTTCAGCCTGCAGCACCGTCTTCTCAGCAGCACCAGCAGCACCAGCGTCCGCCCTCCCAGCCATCCTCTCCAGAACAGCCTTCCTAGCTTCCGCCTTCTCCTTCCTCTCCTTGCCCAGCCAATCAAACACGCCCTCCACATTCGTAAACTGCATGAACCCACCCTCTCTCCACGCATCCCCATGTATCTTCTCCCCGGTTTCATTATCCATCGAAGCAGACTTTTGCGAACTGAGCGCCCGTCCCCAACGACAATACACCAAGCCTTGTGTGAGTACACGCACTCTCACACCCATATTCTTGTACTCTCCTTTCTCGTAGACGGGATTGTTAGCGGTAGACGAACCAACCTCCCACCCACCTTTCCGATACGCAGTCACCCCGTTGAAACATAGGATCTGCGTCAACGCCGTATCACCCCTCGCACGCTTCTTCTCAGTCTCGCTCAACGCATCACGCCGCTTCTGCTCGTCCTCGTCTACGTCTTCGTACTTATTCCGCATATTTCGTTGTCGCATGGGCTCATCGTTCCAACACTCCATTATCGACGAATCGTAGTTATCTTCTTTGAAGAGCGGGACGTGGTGGTATGCTGTGTGTGGGTCGAGGTGCATGTGCAGGGAGAGGATGCCTGCGGAAACGGTGAGGCGTCGGAGATCAGCGAAGACGGTTTTGAGTGAAGGAGCGGGGATCGGGAGTGGGGTGGAGGCGGGGTATGTAGGTGGGTGGACTAGCGAGAGGAGGGGCGAGAGGTGTATCCATAGTGCTCCGATGATGGTGTTGACGTGCGCGTTGAAGTTTGCTGGGAGGGATGTGGGTGTGGGGAGGTGGGCGAGGATGGTGGATGCGTAGGCGGCGTTGCGGGTGAAACCTATTCATGTCAGTTCAAATCTCTCCATTCTCTCCATCTTCTTCACTTGACCCAAACTCACCATCCTGATCCTTCATCTCCCTCTGCACCTTGCTCACAGCTCTAACACCCTCCTCCGTCCCACCAAAGAACGCATGCTGCAACACCTGCACAGGTAGAGATACGAGGTCAGTACATTTCTCACATGCACTTCGTAAAGCCAGAACTTACCTGCTCACTCAACACATTCCCAATCATCGCACAAACCAGCGCCTGCATCTTCTCTTTGTTGACAAAAAGATCGTGCCACCCCCATAGTCCACTCGGCCCTCCACTCGCCACACAGTTGATTAGTTTCGCCGTCTCTGGTGTTAGGGTTTTGAACCACTCTTTCTTCACTGTGATATCCTCGTTCTCATCCGTCATCGTGTGTGCGGGGTCAGCGCCAGAAGCGAAATATCTCTCGGCAAACTCCTCCACAGCGCTCATGAGCCCCCACAGCCCATCCCTTATCTCCGCGTCGCAGAAGGCGTAGTCTGGCTCCGAGGCTAGTTCTGCGCGGATGAGGCGGGGTGAAGCGTGGAGTTCGCGGGCGCGTAGGTTGGGTTGCTCGGACCATTTGTCGGCGGGTGTCTGTTTGTGCCAATTCCGAGGATATTCGAAGCCTGGGGGGTGGGTTGGATGGGTTATGGGGAGGGGGGACGTCATTGTGTGTTGGGATGGTGGCGGTGGTGATTGTGCTTGTGATGGTGACGATGGTGTGGTGATGGGTTTAGCGGATGAAGATGAAGGTGGAGGTGGAGGTCTGGTCGGTGTAGCCCGTGTAGTAGTCGTAGTTAATCCAACAGCCCCAGCCCGCGGTCTAGGTTGTTTGCCAACAGGCATATGTTTGAGTCTGTCCACTTCTACTTCGATCTCGCCCATACTAGTAATGACAGGTCCGGCCGACGAAGTGGTGGGAGAAAACGATAGTTGCAGGTCGTCGTCGCTGCTGGACCAATCTATTTCATCGATCGCTTCGTCTTCTTCGTTCTCGGTCTCGCTGCCTGTGCATGTTGATGGCGACGACGACGGCGTCATGGTTATTTTGGTGCTTGTACTCGCCAGCGTCTTCCCTGCTTTGTCGTGTGGCTCTGTCCTACCAGTCCTACTACCTGTCCCACGCGCTTCAACCGCGTTGTACAAATCGCGCGAAAGTTTGCGCACGGATTTGGGAGTCGCATACGGCCGAGCATCGTCATCTCCATCATCATCCTCTCCAATCTCAACACCAGCTTCAAATTCAGCTTCGTCTTGAAGTTGGCACGCTGCCGCTTCCACCTCGTCCAGATCATTCCTATCCATCTCATATCCATCATCTCCACTCACCGCCACCGTCCCCGCACCAGCATAAACAGCATTCTGGTATTCCTCTGGATCATACGCGTCTCTCTTCCTCTTCCCGCCCGAGCGCGCGGTAGGCGTGTTTGGTGTATCGCGTTTCTTGGTGGGTGGGGCTTTAGCGGGCGAACTAAACAGGTTGTGGAGGAACGACATCGCGCGCGATCGTTGTTGCGTAGTGTGGTTGCGATGGTGGGGTGAGGATGTGCGCTGAATGTTAGATTTGGCTAATTAGCCTTGATCGTAATGAAGGGTCAGTCGCATGAATGCGATGTCTAGCGTCACCGGCTCTTGTATGTTGTATGGCTACGGTGGTCGCTTTGTCTTTGTTGGTGCGGGACCGCATGCGGCAGTTTGTGGGAGCGTGCAGCCGGATGGAGGTTTGTATTTGTGGTGCGCAGGAGCAACAAAGACACCGAGAGGTGTTACTGTGGTATCTTTGCGGTGCAGCGTAACAATGGGTGTCTTTGACGTGGCGATCGTCTATTGTGTTGGCAAGTTAGAGTGAGGTCCGGTGAGGGTATATGCATGCGTCGCATCCTTCTAGCTCACATATCCAGCTATCAAATTAGCAGAAGACACAACAAGGCACTGCGAACCTGATTGAGGAAGAACCACTATCATTACCTCTGCAGAGTAAAACCCGCTATGCTAGATACGCCTGGCTCGATAAGTAAATGTAGAGCGATGATGCAAGGAAACGCTAGATGACAACAATAGACAAAGAAACTTGAATTGAGTTTATGACTTGGGTGGTGGTGTAAAGTTCTTGTAGAAACAAGAACATAACGTGCTCTCAATCTGAGGCTTGAGCCTGACGTCGTCGCCTGACGAGCTCGTGCAGGCTGGTACTCCTTGTCCACCTGCTACGCTTTGTTCGATCTTTACGGCTAGTTCAAGTCAGTTGTTGTACGTGAGATAGGAGCTGTTGGGCGTGCTTACCATATGGCCACGCCTTGTTGGCGACCTTTCCAACTGCGATTGTGTCGTCTGGGTACGTCTGCTGCATCTTGGTGTATAAGATGCCCTGCATGTTTGTCGCACCGTAGTCGCACTCGAAGTCGCCTCTCTTTCCTCCAAGGCTTCCAGTCATGTTCACAGTCTTAGAGCGAGTGATCTGGAACCGGTATCGCTCCGTGTCCTTCCCGGCGTCCAAAAGCTCGAGGTCTTCGTTCTGGAACGTCGTGTCGAATGTGTCGTCCTGTTTGCCTGAGGAAATCTTCCAAGACCCTGCAGATCCGCTGATATCCCAATTGAGAATGGTGAGAGCTTTCTGTTGGTCGTCGTAGTAGTTTGTGTTCGGCGGGCATGTCCACGTGTCTGCGTCTGAGGTGCAGTCTGTTGTGACGGTGTCGAGGAAGAGGACGAAGGACCAGCTTCCGACAGGGAAGTTTGAGGGGACGGCGGAGGGTGTGGAGGTGGCGACTGCAGATGGGGGGTCGTCGTCGGTCGTGGAGGGAGAGTTGGAGTCGGGGTTGGAAGCGGGCTTGCTATCGGTGCCTGCTGGTGTCGTTGAGCCGCCTGTGTTCGCTGCGGGTGTGCTACTGTGTAATTGTCAGCCCATATGCCCTCGATGTTAGCATGAGGTTGGCCTACCTCTTCGAGTCCTTCTTCAGTCCCATCGCCAGTCCAACGCCCAATGCCACGATCAGCGCAATGATCAGGGCGGCGACCACGGCAAGCTTCTTCCATCCCCAGGCAGCACATCCTCTCTGTCTCCGTTGCCGCACGTGTCCAAACTTCTCCTCATCCCGGTCACTCCACACGCTGACACTGAGATTGCTCCCATTGTGCATGTCCTCGCTGCTTTCCCTTGGCGTGAGCAACCTGCCACCCGTCAAGACCGATTGGATGAAGCCGGGCTTCTTCTCGACCCTGTGGTGTTGTACTGGCCCAACATGCTGATGCGATGGGTCGTTGCAGAATGTGCTTTCGGTGGTGACGCTGATTTCGGCGGCCTTGGACGAAGCCGACTTGCCTCGTTTGGCGTCGAGGATTACGGAGAGACGCTGGCCAGCCGGCGTCGAGATGCGCTTTGCCGGCCGGTCGTCACCGATCTCATAGTGTGCCTTTGCGCGCTTGGAGCGATAGAAGTTCATTGGATCGGAGGCTGTGGGCTATATTGCTTGTGACTCGCGGTGTATGGTGTTCTGTGTGTCAAAAGAAAGCGTCCAAGTTCTCCTGACTGCAATGGCTATCGCTCTGCGGGTGGCTTGCCGCTATATCGCGCTATAGCCTGGGAGCGTAGGAATGCCGATGACGAAGACGATGGGGGTAGGGAGGTGAGAGGAAGATAACAGGAGCCTCCCTCCACGGCTGTCAGGCGCGACGCACCCGCCTGAGCCATGACAGCTCTCGAAAGCTTGTACGAGACGGAATCTTGTTGACATGATCCTCCTCAGGCCTCGAGCGTATGGGGCCTGCGCGATATCACGCGCTAGCGACCGTTATAGTATCGAAGTAAACTGCAACGGGCTAGGGGGTCACCCCATTCTCCTGACCATCACTCATGGAGCTGGTTCTCGGTGGAGCCGCACGGTGCTGCGTCGGGAACGGGTGCGCCATGCATGGGCAGATCATGAGAGCTTCGCGGGAGCTTTTATGCAGACAGGATGATGGCGTGCTTGACATCTGGGGTTGAAAAGACAGAGAGTGCCTTCCGCGGGTCTCGATGCTTTGCAGTCGTTGCAAGGTGACGTCGCACGAGTGAAGTTTGTTGATAGTACCGTTGGTAGCTTGTTTCGTGGGCGGTGTTTGTTTTGCTGAGTGATTAGGGGTCGCACGCACGTCGCTAAAATCGGAGCCTGTTCCTGCATTCGGCCCAGGGATCCGGGTCCGAGGGATTTTGCTGCCAAGCCTCAAGCTGCACCTCACTCGACTTTCTTTCACGTGCTTGCGTGTATACACCGTGACAGTTACAAGCGGCGATAATCAACACGCCGAAGAAGATATCTGGGTAGGTGTTTGTTACGAGGCTGTGATGTCTGATGAGGAGCGACGCTAGTGTCGAACGCGCTTTCTCCACGCGCTCTCGCTCTCACCGCGCGCTCTTCACCGACGCGTCACAAACGCGCCTGCCTCAATCATGCTCTCGCCTACAGTGACGTTTGCACACCTGCGCGCACTTCACTCGGAAAATTCTTTATCAACTCACTGCACGCACTGACTCCAGCTTTCTCCGTGCGACCACTACCTGGTTCTTAGCAGCTGCTCAAGGTGTATAGCAACTCGGCAATCCCCATCAGCATGACCGCCAATCGAGTCAAGGTACGCCTTGTCCCCGGATGCTCCGACGGCGATCCTCTCCATGTCCCTCCTCCGGGAGCTCATACCCAGCTTGATCCACCGACTCTTTACCTCGAGAAGATCGGCCAGCAATGGATGGAGAGTCGAGGTGAAGCTAAGCCGGGTGTGCAATACATCCTGGAAGACCTGCCCTTTGGCTACACCCTTTGGCATCGTCCACGACCATCCAAACCAAGCCATTTCGACAAGTACCTGTATGGCCATCCTGGAAAGAAAGCATTCGACTCGCCGAACAGATTCTTTCCACATTTTCTGCATCTGATGAACAACAACGGCAACAGCATTGGGTGTCCATGTACGCTCTGCAGCGGAAGCGCTGGCGTGCTTCCGAAGACCTCAGCCAACAGCTCGCAAGTACGCAGCTCCAGCGCGGCGTCTTCACGGAAGTCATCCAATTCATCTATTCCCATGCAAAGCCGGCCTTCCAGTGCTCACAGCGCCAAACAACTGCCGGTCGCACTGCCGCCTAGTCTGGCACCACAGCATAAAGGTCGGCCAAAGAAGATAACTCCGGGTCTCGACACGACGAACGTGGACAGTGAGGGCACTCCCGACGTCTACAGGAATCTCATCGATAAGCTTCGCCGGCATCGCGATGTAGACGAACCCATCCTCGAGCCACTGAGCCCAGACTGGCGCGCGGAACAAGACCATCTTCGAAAGTTCCTCAACGATATAAAGACACAAGACCAATGGGTTCCGCGAACTGGAGACATTGTCCTGTACATACGCAACATGCCTGATACAGTGGAATTGGTTCGAGACAACAGCACCGGCGAGCTTCAGCTGTACGATGAGCGACGCAAGCAGCATCTCGGTGCTCCACAATGGGCGGCAGGTCTCGTTACTGAACCGGCTACAGGTACCACGGTCGCCGAACTCGTCGCCTCTACTCAGGAGCGCAATGTATCCAGCATTGGTGTACGCGTCGAACCAATTCCAAATCCAAATGAGTCGGACAAGTCGCTATCTAAGAGACACAAGTACGTCTTGTTGCGACAGACAAGCCCGTTCATGATGTGGAGGGACCTCTTACGCCGTATCCCCCAGGAAGAATGGCATGACACCGTTAAAAACGCCCTCGCGCTGATGTCGACGCTATCTCTTATGGGCAAGTATCGCTTTCGAGGGTCGTGGCCGAACGCGAGTATATACTGTCATGGTATCTACGTTGGCGCTGAGATGCTTGCCGTGGGCGACACAGTACGACTCCTTCCCAACAAGCAATCTGGGCAGTCTGGCTGCACGGATGTCATGAGCATCAAGTCCATCCGACTGAAATGGACCAACCTAGACAAGGCGTCGGACAACGACTATGACGAGGGGCGGCCGTACAATTCCGAGATATGGATCTACGGGTCAGCGTACACCAGCGACAGCTCGCGGTCTAACAAGCTGTGGGTGACGGAGCATAATGTCGAAGCCCCGCGAGTGGCCAACGACTATGCAGACTGGTTTCCACTACACCCGGCCGACAAAGAGCTCGCCATCCCCTACTCGCGCGTCCTCGGCCGCCTGCACGAGCGGGACGCTATGGCATACTTCCTTAAATCCGATCATGAAGACCTTCCTGGACTCGATGTCGGACGACACGCAGTGACCGAGGCACGTGCATTTGCCCGCAAACACGACAATCGCATAGCAGCGGAGTCTGATGCCACCTGGTACTGGGGAGACGACCGGGCCGACGCTCTAAATCTCCACACCATCAACGGTCTCGATGTGTCTAGATACGACCTCGACCGCGATGTCAAAGATCTCCGCCGCAAGTACCGCCAACTCGATGGTATCGCCAAAGGAGATGCGAAGCCTACAGGTCAAGACATACTCGACGGCAGGGGATTGCGTACCTTCATGGCGCCGGCTTTACCACTCCGCACCAGCGGCGCGAAGGCACCAAGCGAAAGCGGAAGCTCGATGGCAAGCGAAAGCCATGCGTCCCGAAAGCGCACGCATATTGTTGACTTGGACGATGAGGACGACACCGAGGAGGACGACATCGACGAAGAGATTAGGGAGCACACCAAAGTCGTGGCGGAAGACGGCGAACGTCCGAAGAAGAAGCCGAAAGTCATGGTAGTCATTGACTGAAGAGCGACTGGGCATATAGGAACCCGACAGGCATGGCCCGGTACGAGCCATATGGTACGAAGATGATTCATGGCATATGCCCTTTATGGCGAGAGAAATTATAATACAGTGGACTCGGGTACGATGGTGGAGACGATAGCCAAACTTTCTTTTCACGACGGCGGGCATGGAGGATCACTGTTGATACCCATTTATTGCGATATGCTCGAGCAACTGCATGTTGATGTACTATACTACATCGACACAACATTAGGGCAGATGCCTATACTGGCCTATTCTGCCACAATACCAACATACGATAGATTTCAGGTGTGCCCTTTCCTTTTTCACGATGTACTCACGAAGCGACCAACAGAGCATACTTCACCCCATTAATCTTTTCTTGACTCCCTTCACCGGCTCAAACTTTTCAACGTCAACCTCACCAAGCTCAACGTTACTACTTACAACCAGGTCTACTTCGTAATCTGTCTCAAAGCACGCCCCCACTGAATGCGCCGCAGCCCTGATTTTACATTTGTCCACCGTTGCTTGTCTCGGGGAAGCATCGACCAGGAACTCGACCTCCAAAAGCGACTGCGCACGATGTTGTGAGATACAACATGGGCCCAAGCACCTGGTGTGACTGGCGTAATAGCCAACAGGTAGCACAAAAGAGTCATGAGTGTGAATCACCTTAATGATGACTCACCAGCGCTTTAAAAATGGAAGCGAATGCGAATCAGTATCTCTATTACACGACATGGAAAACATAAAGATCTTCATTCTCGCTAGGGATTGCGACAGGCTCTTTCGGAAGGCCGTCCCAGAAAATACGCCAACTGCGGACTTGCAGGTACCATTACACATAATCCTTCGGTACTTCCACGATCAGTTCAAAGACTGGGCTGGGTGGACACGCGCATTCGAAGATGGGAGGTATTCTTTAGACCGGCGAGTAAGATCTAATTTTGGCTTACGAAGAGATGTGATCCGGTTGCTGGCACTCATCAAGATGCGCTTAATACACGGCAAGGCGTATTCTCGCACACTCTTTTGCCTTTACTGACACGTGCAGGCCTAGTCCCGACTTGCGACACTTATGAGGATAGTAGGTCCACGAACGACTCGTATCGAGCGAGGAAACACAAAGCCATGCTAGCGCCCTTCCCGTACCTAACACAATATAACCTGATAGACATAATCGACGGTGTCGAAAGACTGGACGGAATGGCGGATTTCGTGCCATTCAAGAAAGAAGGGTTCGAAACAGTCGCGATTTACTTAGTGAAGAAAGCATACCCTGATTTGCCCGAGCCCCTCGCCGAACAACTCGCCCACTCTATCGCAGTGCGACGTCATCGCCTGCTCGATCAAAAAGAACGTGGGGAGGAACTTGCTTCTCGAGAAGACCAAAACCACGAAGCACAGGCTGTACCTGATGAACGCGCGGAGATCATTGCGCAGCCCCAAGATGAGATGGCAGGCATCTTCAACAATTTGACTGTCGCCGACCATCCAGTCTTAGAACCAACACAGCAACCAGACGGTGCTTCAAACCAGCCGACAGTCGAGTCTGGGTCAAATACAAAATCCTCGGAAGCCGAGTTGTACCGGTACCCGAGACCACCTCAGCCATCAAGAGGCTCCGACCACTGTCGATGCGACTGGTGTTCCAAGCGATTGAGTGCTGCGAAGCTGCAGCGCAAAGGATCATGGGAGTACGTTGACCATGGTAGTAGCGCGTAATCTCTGAATACAAGCTTACGATGTGCAGATACCACTTCGACAAAGATCTAGAGCCTTACACCTGCATCTCTGAGCGCTGCCAGAATACGCCGTTATACTTCGCTAGCTATAACAAATGGCAGGCGCATATGGCAGCGATGCACTCGGAGTCCTGGGCAGAAACGATCCATAAAGTCACGGTCTGGTTCTGTTACCGGTGTCGAGATCGGGGGAGATTCCAAAGCGAGGAAGCACTCCGTGCTCATCTGGAAAGTCATAAAATCCGGGGCCTGCTGCAAGAGGGCGAGGTACACATTTCGAAAACGGGAATCGACAGGGAATGCAGAGAACACTGGTACCATGATTTCCGACCGCCAGGGATCTGCTTGTTCTGCAACTACGATGCCGCCGCAGAAAATGAGCGTAAAGCGAGCAGGAGTGCGAACGTGCGTGATGCTATGGTTGAAGCGCGTGAGGCTGAAGAGCTTGTTCGAGACAAGCTCTGGGAGCACATTGGCCAGCATCTCAAGAGCCTGGCTTTCTTATCGTTGAGATGGTGCGAACATTACGGTCCAATTTTCTAAGGGGTTGATGGAAAGGTGGATGCCGCGCAGAGGGAAGAATCTAGTGATGATGATGTTGATGATCAGGAAGCGGCATCAGTGGCGGGATAGTCGGCTGTAATATCAATAGTGTACCTCTGAAATGGCCTTCAATCTACTATACCTGAGGATTGAGCGGGAACCAGCCGCTTTGATACCGACTGAGAGTGACAAGGTAGAGGAAGACTGCGGCTGACAGACAGTTAGGCCGATGCGTACGCACGTACGCTAGCGCGATTACTGAACTGTTCCGAGGTTCCGAGGGACGCGTCTTCCCCGCATCGAAGCTAATCATGCAACCAGCACCAGCCCTACAAGCTACGCACGACAAGCTTTCTGTAGTAGATATCTTTCTACCTATATCCACAACAAGATGTGAGAATAAGTGACGCGATATTCCACCTAACAAGCCTTCCTCAACGCCAACATCACCACAATGTCTAAAAACCCCACAAACAAACCCGTCATCGCCGTCGTAGGCGCAGGCCCAGGCATCGGCGAAGCAGTAGCCCACCGCTTCGCCTCCGAAGGCTTCGTCGTCGCGCTCCTCGCGCGAACAGAAGAAGCGTTACAAACCATGGCCGCGAACATCAACAGCGACGTGGGTACCGGGACGGCGCATTACTACATCACAGACCTACGCGTCGAAGACACAGTAACATCGTCCTTCAAGCGCATCCGCGAAGAGCTAGGCCCCGTCAATGTGCTTGTTTACAACGCTGGCGCGCGCCGCGTAAACGGGCGTTCGCTCGTCGATACCACGTCGGAGGAATTCGAGAACTTCACCAAGATCAACCTTTTCGGCGCGTTTTGGGCGAGCAAGCTCGTCATTCCGGATATGCTTGCCGCGGGCAAAGGTACCATTCTTTTCACCAGTGCGACAGGCGCGTTGCGCGGTATGCCAGGCCTGGCGTCGTTTTCGCCCGGAAAGTTTGGACTGCGTTCGTTGTGTCAGGTCATTACGCGCGAGTATCAGACGAAGGGGATACATGCTGTAAACATCATTGTTGATGGGCCGGTTGATGGAAAGTTGATTGGGGGTGTGATGAAGAGGCAGTGGGAGCGGACTGGGCAGACGGACAAAGCGGCGGACGTGGACAGCCATCTTGTTCAACCGAGGGATTTGGCGCATACGTATTGGTTCTTGCATACGCAGCCGAGGAGTACGTGGACGCAGGAGTTGGATGTTAGGGCTATGAAGGAGACGTTGTTTACGAAGCTGTAGTTGGATGGAAAATTGTAGTAGCATTTATCGATGTGTTCTGTCACAAACATCTGAAAGGGTATAAGATTTCATTGTAATGCGACATCTTCACTGCTTATCTACTGCGAATAACGGGCTCGGTATAGCCCCTTTACTGTGTTACAATACTGCGTTGACTAGACCGCGTTGTGGGCTCTGCTTAGGCATCGACTCCAGTCTCTCCCCAAAAGAATGATGTGACATCTTCAAGGCCTACAAGTGAGCTTTCACAGTCTTCTCGGCTTCTTCCCCTTTAGCTTGCTCAGCAAGTACCCTCCGCAGTATCTTGCCCGCATTGCTCTTTGGTATCGCTTCCACAAAGCGGATACCGCCCCTCAGCTTCTTGTGCGGCGACACACGCTCGTTGAACCATGAGGATAGCTCTTCTTCCAGCTTCTCATCGCCCTTGTACCCCGGCGCCACGACTACATACGCTCTCGGTAACTCTGTCACCCTCGACTCACTGTACACGCCAATGACGGCTACATCAGCGACCGCCGGATGGCCAATCAAGAGAGCTTCGAGTTGCGCAGGCGCCACCTGGAAGCCATTATACTTGATGAGTTCCTTGACGCGGTCCGTGATGTACAGGTTCCCATGCTCATCGAACTTTGCGACATCGCCGGTGTGATACCACCCTTCCGCGTCGAAAGCAGCGGCTGTAGCTTGGGCATTGTTGTAGTACCCTTTGAAGATGTTTGGTCCTTTCAAACACAGCTCACCCTCTTCGCCTATCGCCATTTCCTTTCCGTCACTCACGACCTTGGCTGACATGCTGGGCAACAAGCATCCGGAAGTGCCCAACGCCGTGGTCCAGGTTTCGATGCGTTGCACGCTCACGGCGGGTGCAGCTTCAGACATGCCGTAGACTTGGAGTATTTGAGCGCCGAGGCGCATGTGTATCGCGGTAATGATCTCGACGGGTATTGGGGCGGCAGAGGAATGCAGGTCGCGCAGGGACGTGAGGTCGTACTGGTCGACGATGGGGGCCTTTGCCAGGGCGAGCGCGACGGGTGGGACAATGTAAGCGATGGTGACTTTCTCTCTGTCAACCGTCTCGCAGAATCTCTTGAGGTCAAATCCTGACATGATGTGATTGGTCACGCCGTAGAAGATGGTGTTTAGCAGTAGTGTAGCAATTCCTGCATTTATCAGCGCGTGTTTGATTCTGAACTCGTTGAGCTTACCGTAGATGTGATACATGGGTAGGAAGCCAATACCCGTGTCTGTCTTCCAGTTGGTGTTGTAGCCATTTGCCGTCGTAGCCTGAATGCTGTTTGCTACGACGTTCTGATGCGTCAGCATGACACCGTTTGGCTCGCCAGTGGTTCCAGAAGAGTACACCAGGTACGCCAGATCTTCTTTGGGGTCGATTTTGACTCGGTTCATGCTGACTGACGCGCTCTTCAGAGAAGAGAAGTGCTGAACGGATTTTGTAGGCTTGTTGCTCCCAACCAGAAGTATACGATCCAGAGGAAGGCCGATTTTCGATGCTGCCTCGCAAGCGACCTCAAGACATGCCGCATTTGTCAACAGTCCCTTGGCTTTCGAAGATGTCAACTGAGACACCAGCTCATCGACGGTGTACATGAAGTTTAGAGGACACACGACACCTCCAGCAAGTAAGACGCCGAATGTAGCAGGCGCGACATCGATATCATTCGGCGTCATGATTGCCAAAACATCGCCTTTGCGCCATTGCCATTGTTTCTGGAGGCCCTGCCCGAACCGTTCCGCGGTGGACCGTAAATCAGCATATGTGAGCTTTCGGCCGCTGGCAATGTCTACGAAGAGCACTGCACCTGTTAGCTATCGCTTGACAGACGTGTTTGAACACATACCATGATCATCCGGGTACTCGCGATCCGGTCGCTCGAGAAAATACGTCCATGCATCGACGGCGGGTATGGTAATGGGCGGGTATGACGACTCAATCGGCATTGTTAGCAGTATAAGTATAACAGGAATGACTGGTTATGGTGCAGCGTTCAGCTCGAAATAGATGTTATATTTCCCATCGACGTGATCGTCATTGAAGTAGCGCGTTCAAACATTAGGGTTTGGTACTTCAATGGCTACGTCCGTAACACTAACGCGTCAGCGGCGATCGCATGTGATTAGTCGTGGGTACCCAAGTCGGCACCGTGAGACCTCGGGAGAAACCATTGACATGGGCCCAGCGCTCAAGGCGGGCAAAATTCCCTCCGCCCGCACACAGGCATTTGGAGCCTGCCAGAGCATAATATCACGCGATAGCTGTGATCCTGAGCCCCTAGGTGCTGGCTCGGTTGAGCTCACACAAGCGGAATCGTGAGTTCGGGTGGGAGGCGATCATCTTTCCCTGCGTAGGAGAGTTCAGGCTGTAGCTTGAGCTGAGGACGCGCACATTAGTGTGTTATGGTTGATGAAGGTAACAACGAGTTCAGCGGGATCGGAAGCTGGGAAAGCGCGCCAACCGAAAGCAGACTAGGCTGCCATCACGTGCATTCGGCAAATCTTCCCGAGCTCGTGAAGTCTGGCTCGCGCTCACAACGCGAAAAGACATCACACTCTTCACATGCACGAAACAACATCACACATACGGCATCAGGGATCGTGAATGACTACCGTTTGTTTCTTCCCTCAACCATGAATCGCCGCCATGGCGTCTAGCAGGTCGACGCTCCTTGGACGGACTCCGACGCGTCAAGCTCCGCAATGGCTCAGCAGCCTGACCCCAAATCGCCAAAAACATCGCGCATAAATTTTCACTTTTATAAACCACCACATCTCGATCTTCCTCGCAGAACTGCAGTCGTCAAGCTCTCTGTTCATCGCTTTCTCAGTGTCCTTTCCTTACTCCAATGCCTTGACGCCTTCCGCCGCAACCTCTAGCATGCGCGGATCTTCTTCGCCGGTGCGCCCTTGTCGACTTCTGCGTCCATGGTGTCCTTGCGCCTGGCTGAAGCTTCGTCGTTATCATCTGTCACGAACAAGTCGCCCTCGTGGTCAGAGGCATCTGTTGCACCGTCAACGTCTTCCGTGGTCGACGCATCGCCATCTTCATCGTCCGATGTGTTCCTGGCAATCGCTTTCAGAGCTCGGACAAGTGGTGCAAGTCCTGCTTTACTCTTGACATTGTCGTTTTCGAACGTCCTGTACTCTGTCGTACGGTCGCAGTACAGAAGAATGAACCGCAAGAGTGCTTTGATCATGAGAGAAAAAGGAGTGATGATACCGCTCTCGCTGAGCTTTCCGAAAACGTTGTCGCCCTTGATAACTTTTGCATTCCTGACATATCGGTTGTGGGCAGAGTCATTGCTCGTGGTGTAGTAGAGTCCAACTTCCCTTCTTCGGATCTTGAATGCTCGTTCCGTTCTATAGTAGGCCTGTTGCGTCCAGGTGAACTCGGAATAGTCCGGAACATCCTTTCGCTTCCGCTCGTCTACCCACAGCATGTCGCCAACCTTTCTGGACTTCTTTGTTAGTGCGTAGCCGACCTTAACGGCGTATTTGCCGCGATGGTGCTCTCTGATCTCGAACGCATCGGGAGCTGGAAAGCTGGCTAGCTCGTCAGGGCAGACTTCCCGGAGTTTTTCGAGCAACTGTTCCTTTGTGTAGACCTCTGATCCGTCTGTAACATCGAATGGCTCGTGCACGAAATGATTGTACTTAGACATCGTGTAGAAGCTGGATAGGTAGACCAAGCTAGGTTTTTTGTAGTGACGATTGCGAACACTGGGTAGGAAGTGAAGTGTCAAGTGTTGTGTGTAATGGAGGAGAAGGCTAGCGATAGCTCAAATACCTCGGGAGTAGCGAAGGTAAAGGTGAGTCGCAATAAAGACGCGGTTGAGGCGCCCTGACTCGGCAAGCTACCATATTTACCAGAGGATTAGTGAACTGCCTTCACCTCGACAGCCCAACGGTATTTCCAGCAAGAGAGCTGCAATCATTACGTCGCGCAGACGTCGTCGTTTGTCCCAACTACGGCTTCGCAACTTTCCGTATAGCCTCCTTAACAGAGCTACCAACCGCCTCCCAGTGTTCGCCGAGCCAAGTCAGATACAAATCAAGGTCCGTGTGGTGCAGTCCAGGTACCTCATGCAACAGCTTTTGGACGAAGTCACGAATATCGCCACCTTCACTACTACCAAACAATGCTGCGTGCGCCGCCTGATACATCGCAGACTTGGACGTATACATGCCGTCACCGTCTACTCCCGTGGCCTCAACCATTGCGTCGGCGTAGATCTCGCGGTACATTTGTAGCGACAAAGGAGAGTGCGGCGCATCAAGCACTTCGTACCCTGGCATCCAGTCTAACGTCAAGAACTTTGGAAGGGACGTGTAGCCGAGAGAGCGTGGGGCGGTGGAAGCGCGCTCCCAGTCGATGATACCGGTCACCTCGCCTGTTTCGGGATCGCAGAAGACATTCTGGAGGTTGAGGTCGTCGTGACGGAGTACGAAGGTCTCCTCACTATCCCCGGGCTTGACAGATTTCGCGAAAGCGTCGCTTCGAAACAATGCATCCAGGACTCCATGGATGACGCCGGGCCTTCCTTCATGTCCCTCGAACGGCCAGACATCAAGCAGACCATCCGTGTAGAGCTCCAGGCCTGAGTCGTACACTGGCTTCTCAGTAAGAGCCTTTTCAATGGCCATGTCTTCCGATATCAGTTCTGGGTCGATATTCCATTCCCAGAGCGAACCAACGGTAGGCTTTCCGTTTGCGTCAACATTGTCAAAGCACAGCGCGCCGATTTTATCAAACTCAAGATGGCGCAGCTCAGCCATGGCCTGAGCTAGCGAACGAAGCATGCGCGAACGTTTCGCCGCCAGTTCCGCGGAAGGAAAGTCGACTGTGTCCCGATCCCAGTCTTTATGAATGGGGTGAGCGTCGTGCCAGACTTCAGAGGCGGATCTGCCTGTGCAGGCCTTCATCAAGATGTAAGGCGCACCTAGCGTGTTATCCAGCTTGTCGTCATAGGCCACGACTTCAGGGACGGGACACTTGGTGCGCTCGCCAATAAACTCAATAGTACCAAACTCCGAACGAAGCATATACGCATCCTGCTTCTGCCAGCGAGCAGCAGTGCCGATGCAAGGAATCTTGACCACGTATTCGCCGTCGTCAGGGCTGTTGATAACCCGGTATATCCGGACGAAGTTGTAGCCACCCTCATATTCGCCGCAGAAAAGATAGTCGTCTTCGCAGTACTCGGAGGAGGGGTTGAGATGTTGCCAAAGGGTTTTCTGGAAGTTCGAATGGTCAAGCGCACGGAGTGGTTCCCAGTCCGCGCGATCAAGCGCTTCGCCATCAGAGCACGCGCTTGTTAAAGAAGAGGTTACCGAACCGTCCGACTTAGGCGTGGATGATTTATAGTCTTCAACCTCCTCGTCAGAGTTGGCACCGCTGGGCGAGACAGCATTTTCGCGCTGGATGAGGGCGAGGATTGCGGAGTTGTCATTGTCGCAGGCACGCTCAACTACTTTGAGCCAACCTTCTCCACTATCCGTCGTAATTTCGGGCGTAAGCAACCGCTGAGGTAGCTCGGGCAGCGTTTCGATGATGGTGCAGATACCAGAGATAACGTTGAGGCTTGGTAACAAACGCGCGGCTGTTTGTGAAGCAACGGCTTTGTGCGACACATCTGCTCGCTGTGATACTTGGCTTCTACGATGGCGCGCAAATCGATCGCGGAACTTTTCGTAAGCGATGGATAGTACTGTGGGTAGATCACCATTCCGCTTGCTGGAACGATCGCGGGTTTTGAGATCGTTTACGATGCTCGGCGCAGGCGGTGTCTTGCGAAGCTTGGTCTGAGGGCTGTCCTGAGGGCGCTTGGAGCTGAAGCTGGAGGCCAGACCAGGAAACAAAGACGTTAGACTGAAGTGCATGTTGGCACAGATACTCGGGGATGGTTATTGGCTGGAGTGGGCGTGGTGTTCGGTCAGTTGGCTGGGTGTCAAACTACCCGTAGCAAGGTAGTGTTTCGGGGTGGAGAGAATATATAGGACTCGAAGAAGTGAGCAACGTACACACAAGTCTCACGGACCGGAACAGCGCCGAAGTGGAGCCCGAGTTTGTCTAGCCCGTGAAATGCGCGGCGTAGTGAATGATGTACATGTTGACAGATGGAAACGAATCACCAAGTAGCAAACGCTATGCAAGCATCTTATCTAAGCGGAAGGTACTTCCAAATGGCTGCAACAGTGACTCGTCGTCGCATATACGGTCTCTGCTATGGTCTTCCTTTCGATGTCCAGTGAATTCATGCAGGAATGTCGAGGCAGTTACCTATGTTATTTGAGTCTCCACACTTCAAGCGCATACTAGCACAGATCGTGGCGACGCATGGAATTAGCTCAGCTCAATGAAACGCGTCTACCAGAAGGCAGCCATGTTGTACGAGAATGCCTCGGCGCTGCAAGGATTTCAGTCTCTATACACTCTCGCCGTACTCACTACCGCCCATTATACACCTGCATACAGTTCCAACCTTGATTTAACCCAAAGATTAACCAACATGGTAAAGCTCGCAGGAGGATGGATAGACCTCAACGAGAGATACGGAGAAATGTTCAGAGGCGACTTCAACCCCAACATCTGCAACAAGAACACCCTCAAAGTCTTGGGCTTGACACACCATTGCAAGGACTGCAAGGTTGGTACACACTGCGGTATTCTCTGCACCCCCTGTCCACTCTGACTGACCGCCGATCAAGGCGCCCCCACAGAAGAAGTGCTTTTGGCAACTACATTTCGGTCTGTATAGTAACAAGCGCGGCCATAAAAGGAGCTGACGAATCCAAAAGCGTTCTGCGACGAATGCGGCGAGCGCTTCACGGTCTGGTCCAGGGGATGTGGTAAACATCCTTACAGCCACGGCTACAACATTATCTTCAAGGCCGTACGTGATGACTGGCCGGCCTCGGAGATAGAGCGACTACTGGCAACGAGTGGTAGTGTCCAGGACGAGGGCCTCGCAGATCTAATCGACAACGATGGCGCCTCCCCCGATCCAGACCCCGAGGATGGCGATGTTGCTGAGCTCGCTGAAATGGTCGCAGACGCCGATATCAGTACGAACAGCGAAGCCATCGAAAACTTCGACTCTACCCAAACGTCCCCAGTGCCTGAAGCCGACCCCAACGACCAAGTTGAACAAAGTGTCGCGTCGTCTCCCCCTGTCCCCACAGGAAAGACTTCCCGAACGTCGCAATGGCTTCCCACCGGGCTCAAGGGTAAAGACGCCAACGGCATGAGAAAAGCGCGTGCGGCGACCGGAAGAAAGACACGTCGAGATACAGAAGCTGCTGTGCAGGCCGAGATAGCTGCGGATGAACGCGTGAAAGATGCGCAGAGAGCCAAGAGAGCCGCCGACGTAGCCAAGAAAGCAGAGCAAGAGAAGACGAGGATGGGAAGAACTGGCCATAAGCGGAAGTAGGCGATACTTGCTGCTTCCGTTCAAATTATGCATTTACAGTTGAGTTGTGGTTCTAGGTCACTGGCGGTAACGCTGCTCGGCGTTTGATTCGCGCGTATGAAACATGTAGGAGACGACATGAATTGAGATGATGATACGTAAGATGCGCATGTATTCAGAACCAGCTGTGATGCTACCAGTACGATCAGCCATATACATCGCATAAGAACACTACAACGCGACTTACAATGCTCCATATCGCATTACCACTCAGCTGCCACCACCCATAACCTTGGTCAAGCTCATGGGCAGGAAGTTGCCAAGCCCAAGACCACCCCCCTCCATGCCACGCAGCACCTTGCGCATCGCAGTGCCACTTTCCCCCTTGGAACCCGACCCGTATACAAACTCCGCTACCATCCTTAGCTGCATAGGCGCCTTATCATCGCCGTAGTGGCTGATCATCTCAGCCTTTGTGACCTTCTTCCGCACATCGTTCCATTGGCCGCTCTCAGCGAACTTCTCGCACTCCTGCCGGTGTTCGGCGTTCCACCACGGAGGTAGCAGACCCCGCCGAGTCTCAGCCAAGTCAAGGAACTTCCGGAATGGCTCGATGCTTGAAGACTTGCCCGTATAGATGCTGTTCGGTGTGGGTTTATTCTCCAGCTTGTTATCGTCTTCGGATCGCATGCGGAAGGAGTCGATGAGGAGTCTGTAGACATCCTTCTCGGGTCGGTCGTGGAGGTACTTTCCGTCGTCGAGTCGCGTGAAGGGGTTCGGTACGTGCTTTTCGAGGGTCTTCATGCGAGGCGCGGCGTAATTGGAACTGTGTTCGGTTTTGGGTGGGAAACCATCGTAGGCATTGGCATTGGCTTGTGCTTGCTGGGCGCAGATCTTCTTGTGGTTCTTCCAGTCATCTTTCTGGCAGTCGCGGCTGCAGTATGGTGTTGTCTTGCACTTAGCGCACCGCTGAAGTGTGCCTTTCTCGGTATCAGCCTCGGCTTTGTTGCATCGGGCGCAGTTGGACGGCATCTCGCTCTCGCTCGTGCTCGTGGTGCTAGTTTCTTTGGATCCGAACGGATTTGGGACGAATAGCCAGACGAATACTGCAATGAGTACCCAGACAAGCGTTGAAGGCATGATGAAGTGTACGGCACGTTGGCGAGCTGGATTGATATATTGAAAGAGGGGGAATTCGGTCCGTAGGGAAGACGCCCACAATGTGAAAGCAAAATCTCGCGATCAACGTCATCGTCCTAAAACACGCTAAGGAATTAAAGTGGGGTCGAAGATTCCATCCCGCCGCTCCACGTTCCCGCCACGTACTCACGTGCTCTGGCGTACACGTGCTTCTACAGCCACGTGCCTCAGCTCCTTCTGAGCAGCATAAAATTCGCAGTATCTCAATCTTTCTGATCTTTCGTTCTTGAAAATGAGTACTTCATGATTGATGGGCGGTGTGACACTCTCGAAAAAAGCAAATGGAATATTCGAGGCGTGGCGCATGCGGGACGAGCAGCTCCGAAACACGCATCGTCGGCGCCCGCGTGATCCTATGTGCCTCCTCATCATCCGTTCAGACACTCTTAACCCATGACGAAGACTCCTTTTATGTTACGATCAGCATCTCAACACATCGCGGTTGCGGGATGCCATCCTTGCGTAGAGAAGCATGTGCGGGGATGACGATGGAAGGCGGATGCGGGGAAGCTACACGCGTCTACCTCCCCACTTACGTCGTAGTTGACGGTCGATAACGATCACAAGAGCGCGACGACTGGATGTGTGTACTTTCAAGGAACGCCTGATTGTCATAGATTCCATATAAATGGCCATCTTCCTCACGATATATTTGGCAAGATAGCAGAGTTCCATGCTACCTGACAGGCATACACACCACTTCCAGCAACCGCATCATGCAAAACCCATCCGTAGTCTTGTATGGGCCGAAGAACGCAAAGATCGAAAATATCGCAGTGCCAGAGGTGGTTGATCCTCACGATGTGATCGTTCGCATTAATTATGTGGGAGTTTGCGGAAGCGATGTAAGACTACCACTATTTCCATTCACCAGAACAGTTCTCGTTATACAACCCCATCAACCAACTAACCAAACACAGGTCCATTTCTGGCACCACGGCGGCATTGGTAAAATGATAAACCCCACCACCGGCATAGTAATGGGCCACGAAGCCTCCGGCACCATCCACTCCGTCGGCCCATCTGTCAAAAGCGTCAAACCGGGTGATCGCGTAGCTATCGAACCAGGCATACCATGCCGTATCTGCAAAGCGTGTAAATCTGGGGTGTACAACATGTGTCGCGATATTCGTTTTGCTGCGGCGCCAGGGCCGCCTGATACGCAGGGCACGTTATCGAAGTATTTTCGCAGCGCGGAGGACTTTGTGTACAAGATTCCTGATAGGATGGGGTTGGATGAAGCGGTGCTTGTTGAGCCGCTCGCGGTAGCTGTCCATGCGGTTAAACTGGGTGATGTGAAGCCTGGCGAAACGGTCGTGGTAATGGGGAGTGGGACGATAGGGCTGTTTTGCGCGGCGGTCGCGCGTCAGTTCGGTGCGCATCGCATCATCATTGTCGACATTTTGGAGAAGAAGCTAGAGTTTGCGGCGAGCTACTTGAAGTGCGAGACCTTCCGCTCGTCGACCGACGCAAGTCCAGAAGACAACGCCGAAGCGCTACTCAAGAAGTTCGACCTTGTTGAGTATGGCATCGACACGACTGGCGGTCTTGTCGACACAGTCATCGAAGCTTCTGGTGCGACAACAAGTATTGATATGGGCATCAACCTTGTGCGCCCGGGTGGGAAGTATGTTCAGACCGGGCTTGGGAAGCCGAAGATCGAATTTCCGATTGTGGCTATGGGCCAGAAAGAACTCATGGTGAGGGGGTGCTTCAGATATGGTGCCGGGGATTATGAGCTTGCGGTAGGGTTCTTGGAGAAGGGATTAATCGATGTGAAGCCGTTGATCAGCTCGGTGACGCCGTTTGAGAAGGCGACCGACGCATGGGAGAAGACGTCGAGAGGAGAGGGTATCAAGAATTTGATTCGAGGGGTGGAGGGCTGATGGTTAATGTGGCTAAAGAGAAAGAAACTTCTTCTCAATCCATCTGCAACACGACTCTAACAACCAAGCGTCTGTCCTTGCTTCGTCGAGCGTGCGTTGTTCTTCCTCCAGACACATTGTGCCCACATCTTCAAAAACCTCCATGAGTGGTACATGCACTCAGTATCAGTATCAAAACAGCAACTTGTCTTGGGATAATTTGGGCGACGCTCGATTTCCTTGATGAATCTTTTCAATGTCGTTCCATCACTTAAAAAGTTTAATGAATCCGTGTGGCTCCATCGAAACCCCAGCGGTGGTGCGGGTAAGTCTACCAGGTTTGCGTGTCCATCAATCCATAATTCCGGGCAGGCTTGCCGGGCACTTCTCTTCCAGTGTTTTGGACGAATCTGATCGAGACTGTCCGTGAGGTAGAGGAACGTGCTCATCTTAAGTCTCCCAAGCGTAGTGTAGTGGATCTCGTGGTGTTCATTGTCGCCTCCAGTGTGCTGAAGCTCGACAGCAACACAAGTCTCGTCCACCTCGTCGTCGTAATAAACGTCCTGGATCGAATGGAGCAGCCCGTTCATGTTGATGCGAACATCTGTGGGGCTAGTGGGGCGGGTGAGTGTCACTTGGACCAAGATCGTTGGTAGTGCGAACGTCGTATACAGGCTTTGAACGGCGATCTGTTCCATCAGGCGATTTTGATGCCCGTCGTTGCGGGCCCCCATCTCAGCGTCGTATCGTCTCAGCAAATCCGCGTCGCTGTAGTCATTGACTCTCTCTTTAGCCGTAAGCTCCATGACCACCGGCATGTATCGACCAATAGCTCCAACTAAAGATCTCCGGAGTGTGGCAGAAACATCGAAAACATTCCGATGAAAATTGGGTTTCCGGGCGGAATTTATGGGAAGCTGAAGACGATCTTCCGCGGTGATTGCATAAGCACAGATCATGCCTTGCACTTCGCCAGGAAGATCCATAAGTGAATTGACTGGCCTCGCGGTAGACCATTCTACCGCGCCGGACACTGGGTCGACATCAAAAGAACGGTGAACACTTCGCGATCCTGTGTAGTACTCCACCTGACCGTGTTCGGCGTGACGGTGCATAGTGACGGACGAGAGAAGCGGTTCCGAATTGGAAAGGCGTCGGAGATCTAACGCTTCATCTTTGGCAAGAGCCGCGAACGCCTCGTTCAATCGGGCAGTGCGTGCTACGAGATCTGCAAGGCTCGAGCTGCTGGGATAAATGCATCCGGGACATGCGAATGGAAGACTAGAGTGGGCGAAGGTAATGCTACAGCGTGGTAGGTCCCCATTCCAAACTTTCCTTAGTAAAGGCAGTAGGTTTTGGCCCTTTTGGGCCCTGCCACATCCGAAACCGCAGACAGTCGAGATGTCGATCACTACCTTTTTTATCAACCTCATCTGAGAGCCAAGTGAGGTGAGCCAAATTGGCGCATAGTTGATCTGGTGGTAGTCATCCCGGTCGCTGGCTTGACACCGCCTGATTGCTTCGCGGTCACACCTGGTACCGACTCTGGTAACGAAGAAGGTATTGTTGCCGTACAAGATGCCAACCGTTTCATGATAAATCTGGCGACAAGACTTCAGCAAGCCGAGTCCAATTGATGCTTCATGCCTGAACTTCTGTGCTTCTTTCGATCCATCGTCTTGCCTCTTCTGCCAACTTTTCAGTCTGCGCGGAACACGCCTGCGCGTCCAAGGAGGGCCAACCCATTCCCATTCATCTTCCGAGCTGTCACCGGCGAAAGACTCATCGTCTGCACGAATCTCATAAGACCGTCGGTCGTAGTAGAAGTCGGAGTTATGTATGCGTATTCCAGGTCGTCGTGGCAGCACAAACACGTGTTCGCTGATGGTGTTGCGCACCTCCGCCGGCAGCGTCAGGAAGGATGGCGCGGACGGATCTAGAGGCGCCGAACAGCCTTTTGGTATATCCATGGCAGTGTATGAAGAGATGTGTGCGAAACGGTATTGACAAGCAGAATTGGTGTTGCAAAGGACGACGGAGCTGATGGCGGTCTGAAGACAACTGGAAGGGGCGGCACAGTATCCAAGCTAGGCTGTTCTAGGTTAGCACGTCAACGCGAAACTCACGCGTGCAAACTTCCAGCGATGGCTCATGATGCTGCTAATGTCATTCATTGATGCTACTCTGTGTCCATACCTAGCTATCACCGCATTCTCCGCCAGTTCTTGCAGACCACATCAGCACCAGTATCACGCCGAGGTTACCGCGCTTCTCCGATGGCGCGTCCAGAACTCCTGATGTCCCGCATTCTCCCCGGAGCATGGACCCACTCACAACCTTGGAATCCTTCAATGCCTCATCTTCTTTAGCGCATCATCAAGACTGCCCCAACCGACCTCCACACACCGCCTCAAATCGTCCCAAGCATGTATCAAGCACTCGTCGCGCCTATCTATCGGACATGCAAAGTCCATCAGCTCTGCACGCCGCCGAATGACATCAGCCACCGAAGCAAGTCTCAACTTCTGGCCTCCCGAAAAGCCAGGGACAGCATTGCTGCTCACGTCGGACTTCCATCTGGTTGCCCTTGTGCAACGGAACTCGTGCGGTTTCTCAATGCATTTGAGGATGGCGCCGAAGCCGTTGATGCGTATGTTGGGTGTGTAATGTTGGCGCTCACGAGCATAGATGCTGTCTCGGAGGAGGTCGGTGAAGAAGAGGAAGACGGCTTGTCTTAGCTTCTTTATCGGCACTTCTGAGCATTCTCTCTGGTGTCCTTCGTTGTCGTTTATAATGATCTTGATAGTCGACCACATACTGGCTTTGAGTATGGACATGCTGCTCAGGAAGCGCACGAGACCTCTCATGTTAATCTTAACATCCTCGAGACCTTTTTCGTCGTCCAAGATGAAGTTGAGGTCGATGCTCTGGCCGCTGGTAAGCCCAAATTCGCCCCTGGCGATGTAGCTGATAGTTGTGTTGTTGATAGCCTCCGGCCAGAGCAGGGCGTCGAGTGCGCTAAATCTCTTGAAACTCGTCTCGGCTTCCTGACTGGTCATTGAGAGGGTCAACGAATACCCTGGTCGGACGAGAGACTTCACCGAGCAGGGAACCAGACTGAGAAGGGTGAGATCAAGTCCGTGGGTAGCTTGCGCAGTCAGATCCACGACGATGCCTTCGGGCCCAAGTGCTACATATCGAGCGATGATCTGTCGAATCGATCTAGGCAGGTCTGCGCGGGATTTTATCGGCTTCGTTGGGTTCCAGGAGACTTCTGCTCCTTTACTCAGAACAGTGAAGAACCTCAGCCCCGAGCGTTTGTACTTGACGAAGTGCCATTCAGATCGCGATCTTCCCACTTGTTTAAATTCAATCACGACACTCTTTAACGATCGCGAAACATGCCTTAGTCCAAGCATATCTTCTTTCCCGAGAGTATGTAAAAGAGTGTTGAGATCTTCGGGGACCGCTGTAGGGTCACTTGCACCATGAATATGCGCAGAAAGCGCTCTTCCTGTAGACTCAAAGACTATCTCGCATTTGGCTTCCGGATGCGCCCACATGATGCGAAGGAGGGGGAGGACATCGAAATCGGCCGCCCACCGGCAATGGGATGGGCACATGGCATCCGTGTCGATGACCACCTTGCGCAGGAAGCGGTAGTTATCTCCAATAGAATCCATCCATCGAGCAGAGTAGTTCAGTTGGTTGTATCTTTCGTTATTGTAAAAGATTGGTTCAAACCATGCACGATATTCGTTTGTAAGATAGTTGATATCGTGTCTGTCGGTGCGTCGAGTGAAAGCGAACGTGTTGTGCCCGTAGAGCACTCCAACTGCCTCGGAACAAATCTGGCGACAAGATGTGAGCATGCCGAGCCCATCCGAAAGGCCGTGGGCAAAATGTGCTTTCAAAAACTTCAGATCCTTCGCGTCGTTGTCCATAGCTGCTGCCCATGCTGAACGGTCGCGTTCGTAATGCGAGATGCCTTCATATCGACAGGATTCGCACAGACAGCGTGGCCCCCCATCATCGTCGTAGTCGTCTAGGTCCGGGGCTCGTGGAAAGAATGCGTCAGCGTTGTGTAAGAAGACGGGACCATCATTCTCGAAAAGCAGCTCGTAAACGGCGTTTCGTATTTCGGCAGGCAGTTCTAAGAAGGAGGGTTTGGACGGGTCGGCAGGATGAGAAGTGACTTGCGTTGGTGCCGTAATTGTCGCATTTTGCGATGTGAAACTGGCCATCGCGCGCGTCGATGAGACGCTTGAAGCTGTCTACTGAGTGATGAAGAGATGAGTAGGTTACCTAAAGACCGAGCATTTCGCGAAAAGATTTGGAAAACAGCAGTCGCGTAATTATTATCGCTACCGCACTGAGATGTGGATACCAACCGCTGAAAAAACCCCAATCTATCCACGAGATCTATAATATGGTGCGTTGATTTCGCCCAGCATGATCGGAATTGCAAAAGTTATCGCTGGTGTAGCGAATGCAGTTCATGGAAACATGCGGTATACCACATTCCAACAGATCGCATATCGCGTCAACACAAGAGCTTGCGGTGATATAGTCCAATAGCGCTATGTAGGGGAACTGAGCATGCCCTATCTGTCTCAGCACTAGACCAAGAGGCAATCAATCTTTGCCGAGTTGCACAGAAGCTCTTGCTCACGGAAACACAGACAAAGCGCGAGGATTGAAAGCTAATATTGAGGCATCGTGGGGTATATTTGCGTGCGGACCAAAGCAATACCAGAACGTGATAACTCCCCAAAGATGACTAGTATCTGAGTTGAGCGATGATGTACAGGACTAGGCTCTGGACCATCATCGTTTTGGGCGCCCCCAGGAGGCCAATTGCTGTTACGGCGCAATAAAACTACACGCGAAAACCTACATAAGACCCTCAGGATGGTCGCTAAGCTTTGACCTTGTAAGAAGCCCGGTCCAGCAAACATGTATCCTCTAGTACATCTTGTACGTTTGCATGTCACTCCAGTCAGAACTAACGTCCAAAACCTCCTGTGCGTATCGCATCTCAACGTATGCAGCTTCCATATATCCGAGACTCGCCACAACGTTAGGAAAGTCATACATGTACACTTGGTAGTATCTTGCCCGAGTCTTGCGCGACGGTTGTGTGGTATAGCCACGAGAGTATGGTTTGCGGTCGAAGTCCGCCGTCCAGAAGTGCTGCAGAAACATTTGCAGAAAGAGTTTGATATTCGCCTTTCCGTAATATACGAGCTCGGTATACCAGCTTTGATCGGAGAAAGACGGAATCTTAGACTTGACGACCTCGTGTCTTTGGTAGAGATATTCAAAGTAGAGCGTCTCGAGTTTCGGTAGTTTGAGCAAGCCCTGGGCTAGAGATTGCCATGAGCCATCCGTCAGAGAAACGGATGAGAAGCGGGCTTCCTTCAGGGTTTTGGTGTGCTGCTTAACGAAGCGGCGGAGTCGGCTTCCACTCACGTAGGCCTTTTTCATAGAGAAATAGGTCAGGTGAGGAAAGTTCGCGGTCACAATATGCTTGAACACCGCGTCGCATCCGTCGCAGAGCCTTAGCATGGGCATCTTATCGCATCCAACGATTTCAAGATGGGTGATCTCGTTATATGCTGCAAGAAATCCGGAGAACTCTCGATAGCTTGGCTGATATCCTTTGAAGTGGTAGCCCTGGTTGCCGACCTGTCTTTCCTTCTTCTTTGCCAGCTTCCTATCGAGCGGCGTCCCACTCTTAAAAGCCGAGTCGGGCGCGTTGATGCTCAGACCTTTTGTGTATGGCGCACATTCCTCTGGGGAATTTGTAACGCTGCGATAGCCTGATTCGACGACAGGCTGCGCTAGTACCTCAAAGATTGCGATCTCGCGTGGAAACTCACTTGCTGCTAGAGCGGCGGGAACAAGACCGTACAAGTTGCGCCCGTGAACGGTAACCTCCGATAGCGCAGGAGCGTCTTTCAAGTTCCGAAAACATTGCGCGAGAAGGTGTACCGTCTCGCTAGCCTCCAAAGACATTGTTATATCGTCGACGATTTGCCCTCGAAACGCGGCTTTAGCCTGAGGTGTGGGTGAGCGGCGTTAGTAAGTGTCTCATACGTAGTTGGGGTGCGGAGATCCCTCACCCAGTTGGCCGTCAAGTAGTCTGGCGGAGCTTCGTTCTCATAAGGAGACTTGAGTATCAATGTTCGAATCCGCTGGGAGAAGTCGGGGATCTTGGTGATGTGAAGGAGGGCGCAGAGCCCGTTGTGGCTGGCTTCGATATCTAGCTGCTCAAGAAGTAGCCCGTATCTCACCGACGCGTCGTACATGGTCTTCGAGTACAACTCTCGACAAGTTATACGAAGCGGTAGGAAGTCCTCATCGTTGCAGTAATGAGTGAAGCCACCGCGTTCATCCTGGATCATTCCAAGATGACGGCAGATTCTGCTGATGATATCGGCGGGTAGTGATGATAATGACATCGTGTGCTATCTGGTGGGTATAGTCCGAGGACTCGTGAGCGACTGCTACCGAGCGTGCAGGGTGGTCGATCGAGAAGCCAAGCAGGGTAGGTCGAGGCGTAGACGTGAGCGCCTTATGACTCTGTTTAACAATTCCAAGACTTATGTAGGCATGAGTACCCGTTGGGCGCTAGGCTCCAGGTACTGTTATGTGCGGCTATCATTCACTATTCATTGGCACCACTCGCGTTACGCAATGAAAAAAAAAACGATTCTCTCGGTTTCTGTATACCAGACACCTTTCTGTATGTATTGATTTAGTACTGGACGGGTCCGCATGGTGAGAAATGACTTGTGTTGGCTCCACGTTTGTCGCACCGTGCGATACGAGGCTGGCCATCGCACGAGGACGACATAGGGTTCCTGAAATTGCTTGTTGAAGTTTGGAGAGGTCGGTAGGTTAGAGTGAAACTTGAAAATTCGTAGTCGTAATGTCGTTACCGCACTTGGATGTAGATACGAACATCTGAACACTATAATTCCGCGCGCTAATACAGAGATGTACTCTTCAAATGAATCAATGATGTAGAGGGGATGATCTGACAATGATATATCGTCGAGTAGGAGATTTTGTAATTTCGCCCAAAAGTCCGTGAAGAGTGGCGTGTTTGTGCACATTGTACCACAATCAATAGCTCCTGCGTCATTACCCCTCCGTCCTTTTCGTCAAGGCATCTGGTGCTTCCTCCTTACTAGATGATTAGTCCAGTATTTCTTCCGCGTATCGTTCAATCGCGTAGGCTGAATCCATTCCAGCAGGCTTCATCACCACGTCAGCGAACCAATACATGATGACCTCCTGGAAGTTCGGTCGTGTCTTCGCAGCAGTTACACCACTTCCAATTCCCCTAGTTTTTTTGTAGTACTTGCGCGTGCGGAAGTAATCCTCAAAGGTCTGTAGATAGTTCCTGACATTTGAGGTTCCCTCCCAAGTACAACTATCGATACAGAATGGTTTAAGTTCTGTCTCGGACATAGAATCACTCCCAAGACGAGGTACTGCATGCTTTTGGAACAGAAGAGCCCAGTGTAGCATGTCTAGCTTTGGGAGCTTGTATAGGCCTTGGGCGATCGAGCGCCATGATCCGTCCGTTAGCGTTACGAATGTGGAGTCGAATTCCTTCAACGTGGCTGAGTGTTGTTTTATGAAACGTCGAAGTCGACTGCCGCTAATATAGATTGCGTGGAGACTCAGCCTGGTGATGTTGGAGTAATGTGTAGCAGCAACGTGCCTAGTAAACACTGCATGGCAGCCGTCGCAGAATCTCAAGCGAGGATGGGTCTCGCACCCGTCCAGACGAAGGGTCTCGATCTGACTGTGATTTGCGATAAGTCGGGACAGATTTGTGTGATCAGGTTGATAGCCCTTCAAATGATATCCATGTTCGTTCCACCTTTTGGCGTCCTGGATTGTCTGCTTGATCTCGGGACGTAGGAACATGTAATGTAAGGTCGAGGTGCTAATCTCGATACCCTTGGTGTATGGTGAGCAATCCGCTGGATTTATCATCAGAGTACGATGATCAGCGTTACTGAGGTTTTCAGGCTGTACTGTGAAGACTGCCTTCTTCCTTGCAAAGCCGCTCCTCGCTGAAGCGGCATGTATAAGACGGTGCAAATCCGTGCTCCGTACCGGAATTTCCTCCAAAGAAGTCGCTTGCTTCAAGTTCCGGAAGCATGCTGCTAGCAATTCAACCGCTTCGGGGGCTTCTAAGTATGTCGAAATCTCTTCGCGGCGCATTTCACGGGTCGGGGACAATCCCCATGGAATATCTGAGTCGTCCGCCGTGCTTGCCACCATAGGATAATAGAACAGCACTCGCTTGATCCGGTCGCGAAAAACTGGTATTTGAGTTATGTGCAATAGCTGGCAGAGTCCCTTGTAGTCGACGAATATCTCGAGCTCCTCTAGCAATAGTCCGTACCTAACCGCGGCGTCGAAAGTAGTCTTCGCGTGAAGGTTTCGGCAGGTGAGGCGGAGCGACTGCAGATCATCGTTATTGTAGTATACGGAGCCATCTACATCGCGCTTCAGGCCTAGGTATCGACACGTTTTGCTGATGATCTCCGTGGGTAGGGATGGCAGAGACATTCTGAGTTTGTCGAGCCTGGGGGAAATGTGGTTGAGGCCTACAGTGGTACTGAATGGCGCAAAGCTTGAGTGTTGTCGCTGCTGTAGGCGTCTAGCGGTGAGGTGGAGGCGCGTCGCTTGAGTGTGGTGGCTGATGTGAACTCCTGGCTGTGAGTGGGTATCTGGCGCCTACGAAGGTTCGAAAAGGCGCGAATATTCGGGTTGGCGTTTGATGTAGACTCCCGGGTGCGCGGGCGAAAGCTTCCTTCGCTCGCTTTAAGGAGATCACGAGGTGATGATAGAGGCCTATGATGGAGTAGAACGGCAAAAAGCTCGGGATTTCTCGTTGATATAAACAGCTAACTGCGTGTTGTTTGCGAGATGAGGCGAGGTGAGAGAGCAACGCAATGCGTAGTGGAAGGCGCGAGTGCAAACAACGCTAGCCACTTACAGTATCGCGCGTATGAAGTGCCCAACACAACACAGATTGCGCGCGATTTCACTGGTCTTCTTTCATTCTCTCAATGTATCTGTCTCTCAAGCATTCTACTCCTCCGGAGGGTACACGACAATCCGATCAATATCCGCGCCCTTAACATCCTGCCCATTATCCAGCCCACCAATAGTAATAGTGTTATGACTACCCTCCTTCAAGTTCAACATAAGCGGT